ATATTAGTATTCAGTACAGAAGTGACATAACATAACTCCAGTGGTTGATATTTATTCTACTCTTAAGTATGTATGTGACGGCGCGAGTGGCGCCACCTATGTGTAGAACTGTTAGTGTTTACCACAGTCCTTTATTTCAAAATTGCCCTTCTTCATAGCCATCAAGGGTGTACATATGTGAATTTTGGATTTCCTAACCAGTCCATCTCCAGGAAATAAAGCCCGACTGCTCACTGGAGGGAAGGATACTAGAGACAAAGTTGAAGTACTTTGGCCACATCATGAGGAGACAGCAAAGCCTAGAGAAGACAATGATGCTGGGGAAAGTGGAAGGCAAAAGGAAGAGGGGCCGACCAAGGGCAAGATGGATGGATGGCATCCTTGAAGTGACTGGACTGACCTTGAAGGAGCTGGGGTTGGTGACGGCCGACAGGGAGCTCTGGCGTGGGCTGGTCCATGAGGTCACGAAGAGTTGGAGATGACTGAACGAATGAACAAGCCAACTGGAGTTTGTTTACTTTCATTTTTATCAATATGTGGAGCCTTTCCCTGATCATTTGGGAAGCAGGGAAGATCCCTTGGGGATGTGTTCTTTCTGAAGTATTTCTCCTTGCTCAAAATATTTGATTGATTGATTGATTGATAACCCACTCTTTTCACCTCAGAGAGGACTCAGGACAGCTCACAACAAAGGCACAATTCAATGCCTTGAACACATATCAGCATAAAACAACATTGGATTATTGATGTCGCCATACCCAGGTGACCAAAAAAAAAAAAAATCCCAGGAAAAATTCAGACGTTATCAAGACCTCAAAATTGAACTGCAAAGGCTCTGGCATAAACCAGTACAGGTGGTCCCAGTGGTAATCGGCACACTCGGTGACGTGCCAAAAGATTTCATGTGCTGTTTATCACTTTTGAACATGCGATAAAGCTAAACGAGCTTTTGCACGTATTCAAAAGTGATTCAAAGAAGTGTTCGCTCTTTCCGTAGGCTAGCCTTGGGATCGTGCATATGTGCGCAAGGACTTCCAAGGGAACATCGGAGGCAAGAACTGACACTTTTTTTTGTCAAATTAAAGAAATTTGTCTGTAATTTCCAAGCGTTGAAAGAACAGTGTCATAAAGTGAAGCATCAATGCATAGAGGAAGCTTGTACTTTCAAGCTGCTTGTTGATTTATGGCAACACTATACATTTCATAGGGTTTCCTTAGGCAAGAAATGCCCAGAGGTGGTTTTGCTAGTTCTTCCCTCTAATATAGAGCCTAACAACACCTGGTATTCCTTGGAGATTTCACATCCATGTTCCAGGCGTGACTGTGCATTTACTTTTCAAGATCAGACGTGATCTGGTGCATTTTGACCTACGATATCAGGGGTCCTCAAACTTTTTAAACAGAGGGCCAAGTCACAGTCCCTCAAACTGTTGGAGGGCCGGATTATAATTTGAATAAACATGAATGAATTCCTATACACACTGCATGTATCTTATTTGTAGTGCAAAAAAACCCATAAAAACAATAAAATGTAGAACCATTTTAACAAATATAAACTTATTAGCATTTCACTGGGAATTGTGGGCCTGCTTTTGGCAGATGAGATAGGATTGTTGTTGTTGTTGTTGTGTGCTTTCAAGTCGTTTCAGACATAGGTTGACCATGAGTGAGGGCCGGGTAAATGAACCTGGAGGGCCGTATTTGACCCCCAGGCCTTAGTTTGAGGACCCCTGTACTATACTATCTTCTCCCTTCTTGGTGCTTATATAGCTGCTGAATAGAAAGAGCCTGATCCTGACAGTAGCTGTTGAAATTATGTTGGGATTGGCAGAACCATAACCCATCACAGAGTCCAATTGTCTGAACTTCTCCTATTCACGTTACTGAGTCTTTTCTGTTGCAGGCCAGAGTTATTCTTTTTTTTTTTCCAATGTCAACAATTTATTATGGAACAATTTATTCCAGAGTTATTCTTAAATGCTTCATGGAGAAAAAAGTAAGGAGAGTATAAATCACACCTAGAAAGGTTATCTATTTATGACTGATTTCTTTAAAAATGGTCTTCTGCCTACTAGCACGTGTAGTTTTTCTAGTTATGTGTGAGAAGCAACTAAATAAATTGCAAACTGTCCTTCTGGCTATCTTTCAGAAAAAGGAGGAATGGCTAAGAGTGCCTCCAGGACTTTTCTATGCATTTCCTATGTTGAATCAGGATGATGCAGTGATGGAAAATGAGAACAAAGAAAGAAAAAGAGTTTCTTGATGTGGTGTGTGTTTGTGTGTGTGTGAGAGAGAATTAGAATGTGTATAAAGAGAAAGTGGTGTGTCTGTGTAAGAGAGAGAGAAGAGCGGGGGAAAGCAGTGTGTGAGAGAGGAGGAAGAGAGAGCATGTCAGTGACATCTTGGTATCTGGTAGTGTTTGTTTCCAAGATCCTCTGTAGTCTGTACATATCTATGAATGCTCACTATCTATATAAATAAAAATGTAATGTTCGTTTGTGGGATTAACATAACTCAAAAACCACTGGACGAATTGCTGCCAAATTTGGCCACAAGACACCTACTAACCCAAGGAGCAACCATCACTCAAAAAAAAAAAATGAATTTCGCATTTGGGAGTTGTAGTTGCTGGGATTTATAGTACACCTACAATCAATGAGCATTCCGAACTCTACCAATTATGGAATTGAACCAAATGTGGTACATAGGACTCCCATATACCAACAGAAAACACTAGAAGGGTTTGGTGGGCATTGACCTTGAGTTTGGGAGTTGTAGTTCACCTACATCCAGAGAGCACTGTGGACTCAAACAATGATGGATCTGGACCAAACTTGGCATGAATATTCCATATGCCCAAATATGAACACAGATGGAGTTTGGGGGGAATAGACCTTGACACTTGGAAGTTGAAGTTGCTGGGATTTATAGTTCACCTACAATCAAAGAGCATTCTGAACCCCAACAACAGAATTGGGGCAAGCTTCCCACACAGAACCCCCATGACCAATAGAAAATACTTAAGGCAATCCAGTCCAACTCCCTTCACCGGGGCAAGAAAATGTAATCAAAGCCCTCCTGACAAAGAGCCATCCAGCCATATAGATAGATATATATGATTCACAGAGAGATAGAGTATCACAGATTTGAAAGGGACTCCTAGAGAAGGACAATTACCGTATATTCCGGCATATAAGACGACTGGGCGTATAAGACGACCCCCAACTTTTCCAGTTAAAATATAGAGTTAAGACCACTCCCATGCATAAGACTACACCCGCGTATAAGATGACCCCTGACTTTTGAGAAGATTTTCTTGGGTTTAAAAGTAGTCTTATACGCCAGAATATACTGTATATGTTGCATGTTCCAGAGTAGGCAAACCAGGCAATCTCTATATCAACACTGACAAAGAAACAACAAGAAATACTGTTTACCCACAAACATAAAGGCATTACATATATTAGAAATCAACACATTCTCATTACTTTCCAGATCACCAGACTAGGCCATAGCAATGCGTGGCAGGGGGTCGGCTAGTCTATATAAATAAAAATATAATTTTCATTTGTGGGATTAACATAACTCAAAAACCACTGGGCGAATTGACACCAAATTTGGACACAATACACCTATCAGGCCAACGTGTGACCATCACTCATAAAAACACTGGAAAACACAGCGGAAGAGACTTAAAAAGCCAAAAAATGAAAAATACATTACAACACATGCGCTAAACCACATATATACACATATACACAAACACACACACACATATACACATATATGCACACACAAAACACATATACACAGACTGGGCCACAGCAATGCGTGGCAGGGAATGGCTAATCTATATAAATAAAAATGTAATGTTTGTTTGTGGGATTAACATAACTCAAAAACCACTGGACGAATTGACACCAAATTTGGACACAATACACCTATCAGGCCAACGAGTGACCATCACTCATAAAAACACTGGAAAACACAGCAGAAGAGACTTAAAAAGCCAAAAAATAAAAATACATTACAATACATGCACAAAACTCTCTCTCTCTCTCTCTCTCTCTCTCTCTCACACAGACACACACACACACACACAAACACACAAATATATACGCACACATGTACACACACATTCACACACATATACACAGAGTGGGCCACAGCAATATGTGGCACGGAACGGCTAGTATACAATGATGTAGTAAATTGGTGTTCCTTTTATTATATGGCAAAACCAAGATTTGTTTTTGGGACTTTAAAAAAATAGTTTCAAGATGTGAATGGTTGAAACCAAGGATGCAGAATCAGCAGATAAGGAGGCCTGACTGTATTGAAAGGGAGATAAGTAATAATATATATGAGAGGGTGAGGGAGTAGTGTATGTTGAGGGTATTGAGAGGCATATGTAGGCGAGTATCTGTAAGAAAATTGTGTTGTTTTAATGGTAGGTGAATGATTGAGATCAAATTGGGATGACAACATAGGAATGAGAAAACCCAACCTGGTATTATTTCTTTTGGCTCACTGCGTAGGCCCCTTCTACACTTCCATATAATCCAGATTATCAAAGCAGATAATCCACATTATCCACTTTGAACTGGATTATATGAGCCTACACTGCCATATAGTTCAGTACAAAACAGATAATCTGGATTTTATATGGCATTGTAGTAAGGGCCTTAGACAGACCCCCGTCTGACTGTGCCCTATTGTCCTTGGACACCTTGAATCCACAATGATTCCTAGTCCATTCATTAAATTGGCCCGTTGTTTGGAGGATCCATAGTTTAGCTATATTCATTGCTGTTGCCTTCAAACCATTTCCAACATATGGCAGCCTAAGGTGAGGGGTTTCTGGGGCTGAGAATGTGAAATGCACCCAAGCTTACCCAGGCGCTTTGACATTGGGGCATGAGCTGCAGACTGGTCAAATACACTTTATTCTTTTATTCCATGTTTAATTTCCCTCTCAATTTTTCTTGTCCTTTGTACAGCTGCCGAACCAGTAACAGGAAGAGCCTGATCCTGACAAGTACGTCGCCGACACTGCCCCGGCCTCACTCTCCACTCCCAGGTCATATTGGTGAGTATTTATTTATCGTGTCAGGAGCAAACCAAACAGTTGTATTGCATTTTTTAACAAACAAGCAAGCAAAACACAAAGTTTGCAAGCTTGATAGTTGACTAAATGTCCTTTGACCAGTAGCTGGCCCCTTGGAGTGCCTCTGGTGTTACTATAAGAAGGTCCTCCATTGTGCATGTGGCAGGGCTCAGGTTGCATTGCAGCAGGTGGTCTGTAGTTTGCTCTTTTCCACACCTGCATGTCGTGGATTCCACTTTGTGGCCCCATTTCTTAAAGGTTGGCTCTGCATCTCATGGTGCCAGAGCGCAGTCTGTTCAGCGCCTTCCAAGTTGCCCAGTTTTCAGTGTGCCCAGGAGGGAGTCTCTCATTTGGTATCTGCCATTGATTGAGGTTCTGGGTTTGAGCCTGCCACTTTTGAACTCTCGCTTGCTGAGGTGAGTTAAGCCTTTGACTTGCCCTTTTGTTCTTTTGAGAATGCCGCCCTGGATGAATCCAATATTATTATTTATTATTTATTATTTATTATTATTATCCAACATCCAATATCCAGCACTGCATGCGGTCCACGAAAAGAGCCAGTCATTTTGCCCCTGCCCCAATCCTTCTGTCCTTGTCAAGGCAGCAGTCCATTCTTCAAACAAGTCACCTGCTTGACTGGCTTTGAGCAAAAGGCTATCCTAGTAATTACCAAATGTCCATGGCCAGGGTGCATGAAATGTCCTTGGATCCTGCCCAAGACTTCACTTTTTGCCTGTTTTTCTGTTCTTTCGAAATGTGTGTTTCTTTCACATTGCCACAACTGGCTAAGGCCCCTTCTACACTGCCATATAATCCAGATTGGCAAAACAGATAATCCACACTGCCATATAATCCAGTTCAAAGCAGATCATCTGGATTTTATATGGCAGTGTAAAAGGGGCCTGAAGTCTCTTCCACACATCTGAATAAAATCCCACATTTTCTGCTTTGAACTGGAATATGTGGCAGTGTGGACTCAGATAACCCAGTTCAAAGCAGATATTGTGGGATTTGTTGTTGTTGTTCATTCGTTCAGTCGTCTCCGACTCTTCGTGACCTCATGGACCAGCCCACGCCAGAGCTCACTGTCGGCCGTCACCACCCCCAGCTCCTTCAAGGTCAGTCCAGTCACTTCAAGGATGCCATCCATCCATCTTGCCCTTGGTCGGCCCCTCTTCCTTTTTCCTTCCACTTTCCCAGCATAATTGTCTTCTCTAGGCTTTGCTGTCTCCTCATGATGTGGCCAAAGTACTTCAACTTTGTCTCTAGTATCCTTCCCTCCAGTGAGCAGTCGGGCTTTATTTCCTGGAGGATGGACTGGTTGGATCTTCTCGCAGTCCAAGGCACTCTCAGCACTTTCCTCCAACACCACAGCTCAAAAGCATCGATCTTCCTTCGCTCAGCCTTCCCGAAGGTCCAGCTCTCACATCCGTAGGTGACTACAGGGAATACCATGGCTTTGACTATGCGGATCTTTGTTGCCAGTCTGATGTCTCTACTCTTTACGATTTTATCGAGACTGGACATTGCTCTCCTCCCAAGAAGTAAGTGTCTTCTGATTTCCTGGCCACAGTCTGCATCTGCAGTAATCTTTGCACTTAGAAATACAAAGTCTGTCACGGCCTCCACATTTTCTCCCTCTATTTTCCAGTTGTCAATCATTCTTGTTGCCATAATCTTGGTTTTTTTTATGTTTAACTGCAACCCAGCTTTGCACTTTCTTCTTTCACCTTGATTAGAAGGCTCCTCAGCTCCTCCTCGCTTTCGGCCATCAGAGTGGTGTCATCTGCATATCTGAGGTTGTTAATGTTTCTTCCAGCAATTTTCACCCCAGCTTTGCATTCATCAAGCCCCGCAAATCACATGATGTGTTTTGCATACACGTTAAAAAGGTTGGGTGAGAGTATGCAGCCTGGCCGTATGCCTTTCCCAATCTTGAACCAGTTTATTGTTCCAGGGTCAGTTCTGACTGTTGCTACTTGGTCCTGATACAGATTCCTCAGGAGAGAGATAAGGTGATTTGGTATGCCCATCCCACTAAGAACTTGCCACAATTTATTATGATCCAAACAGTCAAAGGCTTTAGAATAGTCAATGAAGCAGAAGTAGATGTTTTTCTGAAACTCCCTGCCTTTCTCCATTATCCAGCGGATATTGGCAATCTGGTCTCTCGTTCCTCTGCCTTTTCTAAACCCAGCTTGAACGTCTGGCAACTCTCGCTCCATGTATTGCTGGAGTCTTCCTTGCAGGATCTTGAGCATTACCTTACTGGCATGAGAAATAAGGGCCACTGTACGGAAGTTGGAGCAGTCTTTCGCATTTCCCTTTTTTGGTATGGGGATATAAGTTGATTTTTTCCAGTCTGATGGCCATTCTTGTGTTTTCCATATTTGCTGGCAAATGGCATGCATCACCTTGACAGCATCATCTTTTAAGATGATGTTCAGGTGGAATCTCTTTATATTCTGGGTTATATGGCAGTGTGTAAGAGCCTTAAGACTATTTGATCATGTTCCAGGTTGTTCCATAGCTGGTAGTCTTGTGTGTCTATCTGTTTGCCTACAAATGCAGCAAGATATCCAGCCAAATCCAAAGAGAAATCATACTTCTCAATACATGCCTACCCATCTAGTACCTATCCTGCTTGGTTTACACTTTGTGTTATATACAACACATAAATGAACTCCAAATAGTGTTGTTGGGCCGATTCACAACCAATTTTGGCCTTCCATCTTCCTGTTGGCCTCTCCAACAAAGCTATAATTTTCTCACTGATAGGATTTAAAAAAAAATCTCTCCATGCTTCCAAGCCATCTGTCTTTTCTACTCTCCATATTTATCTAGCACTGTGAATGTTGAATGACTTTCACAGCCATCCTTCTTTCCATTCCATTTTCTGTCCATCTGCTTTTTCCTCATCATCTCCTAGCTGACCATTTTAGATGGCCAAACTGCTTTCCTCTAGCCATCTGTTTGGCTGGTTGGACTCTTCCTCACACTGTTTGTTGTCCCACCCATCCAAAACTCTTATTTCTTTGCTTCCATCCATCTTCTGTTTTCTTGTTTAACACACTTAGCACCTTCTTGGTATGTCAGAGGCCCCTTCCAGACAGGCCGTATATCTCAGGATCTGATCCCAGGTTTTCTGTTTATCCCAGATTATCTGGCAGTGGGGACCCATATAATCCAGTTTAATGCAGACTACCTGGGATCAGATCCTGGGATATAGGGCTTGTCTGGAAGGTCCAGAGTTGCTAGAACATCTGTCCTTCATAGGGCAGTCAGAAGAAGATCTGTCTCCTTAGAAGAGGATTAAAATTATCCTATAGTTGTGAGCAGACTTTTTTTTGTATACATTTTATTTTATTTAAAGTCGTAATGGAAGGGGAAAGTGATTTGGTAGTCCAAGTAAAGTGGGAGAACAATTTTGTTAAGAGAAAGTAGAAAAAAGGGGAAAGGGAGAAAGGGAGAAAAATGTAAATATAATAATAAAAAATTAATAAAAATAAAAATGAGAGAGAGAAAAAAAAAGAAAAATTGTAAACAATAATACAAAAATACAAAAAAAATTCAGCCAGTGATCTTCCTTATTGTAAGTAATAATAAAGAGTTTATACAAAAATATGAATTTTATCACTGACCCCTCTTTTGTCCACTCTTGTGTTGTTTCTCTTATTAGTTCTTTCTTTTTCTCATTTATTCATATTCATCCACCTAGAATCAAAGAGTTGGAAGGGACCTCATGAGCCATCCAGTCCAACCCCCTGCCAAGAAGCAGGAATATTGCATTCAAATCACCCCTGACAGATGGCCATCCAGCCTCTGTTTAAAAGCTTCCAAAGGAGGAGCCTCCACCACACTCCAGGGCAGAGAGTTTCACTACTGAACGGCTCTGACAGTCAGGAAGTTTTTCCTCATGTTCAGATGGAATCTCCTCTCTTGTAGTTTGAAGCCATTGTTCGATTGCTCCTAGTCTCCAAGGGAAGCAGAAAACAAGCTTGCTCCCTCCTCCCTGTGGCTTCCTCTCACATATTTATACATGGCTATCATATCTCCTCTCAGCCTTCTCTTCTTCAGGCCAAACATGCCCAGCTCCTTAAGCCGCTCCTCATAGGGCTTGTTCTCCAGACCCTTGATCATTTTAGTCGCCCTCCTCTGGACACATTCCAGCTTGTCAATATCTCTCTTCACCAATTTGTTTGTTTAATCAGATTACCCGAATTTTTCTTTAATAAAAAGGTTAGTTTGTCTATGTCTTTTATCTCTCTTAATTCATTCGTCCACTGGTCTAAATCCGGTATTTCTCTCTGTTTCCAGAGCTTCGCATAGATAATTCTGGCGGCTGTCATCATATACATAAAGAGGATATCTTCATTTAAATCTAATTTTAAATCTGTATCAGTTATTCCTAATAGGTAGTATTCCAGTTTTTTGGGGGATTTTTTTTAAAAAAAATCTGTTGACATTCTTCATGTATTAATTTCCAGTATTTTTGAGGTTTTGAGCAGACTTTTGAAGCAGTGTGTCTTGTGTGTCCTTTTTCTCCCTGTCCACAGGTAGCAGCCCTCTGGACAGCCCTCGGAACTTCTCCCCAAATACACCAGCCCACTTCTCCTTTGCATCTTCTCGCAGGTAAGACCAGCCAGAGGAAAATGAATATTTTGTAGACACACTCAGAGGGCTCTTCCACACAGCTCTATATCCCAGAATACCAAGGCAGAAAATCCCACAATATCTGCTTTGAACTGGCTTATCTGAGTCCACACTCAGATAATTTGGGATGTTCGGCCTTGAAATTCTGGGATATAGGGCTGTGTGGAAGGGCCCTTACTCATCTTGACTCGTTCAGTGTTTTCATACTAAGGTACTCCACAAAGGCGATGAGCTTCAAATATCCCATTGTAATATAGACAATTAACACTAAACTAGAATCAGGAAGACTCTACTAGTAGCCTCAGCCTTGTGCATGAAATATTTATTAAGCAATCATTGGGGAAGAAGGAGCCGGCAGGACTGAAGACCGACAGGTTGAGCTCCCGCTGTCAGCTCCAGCTCCCCATGCAGGGACATGAGAGAAGCCTCCCACAAGGATGGTAAAACATCAAAACATTTGGGCGTCCCCTGGGCAACGTCCTTGCAGACGGCCAATTCTCTCACACCAGAAGAAACTTGCAGTTTCTCAAGTCACTCCTGACACACACACACACACACACACAAATTGGGGAGGAGGATGGAGGAAAGAAAATTGCTCTTACATTCATTTATTTGTAAAATTAAGAGACTAAAACCAGAAGTAGACCGCCTTCCACCTGGAAACTAATGCCCTCACTGCAGGAGAAGATGCAGATCAAGAATAGGGCTCCACAGTCACCTACAGACCTACCAGTACACTGATTTTGGAAGACTAGCCTACTTGGACAATGAAGGATTGCCTAAGTAGTACTATTCCACTTGTAGATATGGGAGTAGAGAATTGTGGTACTGTGTCATTCTTTTGTCTATTCTACCTGGCTATCCTGCCAGAAGGCAACAGAGAAGAACATTTGAAGCACTAGAAGAAGCTACAGCTGCTGCTCCCCACTTCCCATCTGCTCTCTGCTCTTTTTATAGTTGTGCACGTCCCACTTCTTTCTCCCACTTCCACCCCACAAAAGCAAGGGAACAGACTGTGAAGTTCCATCTTGCCATCAACAAAGTACTACGTGAATCCACACTGAGCTGTTTACATCTCCTTGTCCCTTGAGTTTCTGCACTGGTACCAAAAAGCATAAACAGTTTCCTACCCAGGAGCGTGATCAGAAATTGCCTTATGCCAAAAAAGCACTTGCAAAATCCCTCTGTTAGAAGTGTCTTTACTCAAGTACAGAGACTCATACATGGTATGGGATGGAATAAAAACTCACTGGTAAAATCTTGTGAATGGCTTGAGCTGCTTGAGTTCAATTTGCAGCTTTTTCATGTGTCCTAGAAGGGGTAAGAGTGGAAATCTATATTGAGGAAGTATTCTAGACAATCCTTGGGTTTGCCAAATATTATGTTTTGGCCTTCAACTCCCAGAAATCCCAGCCAGTTTACCAGCTGTTAGGATTTCTGAGAGTTGAAGGCCAAAAACATCTGGGGACCCAAGGTTGAGAACCACTGCTCTAGGCAATCCTTGGGTTTGCCAAATATTATGGAGACTTTCAGATTCTCCAGAATTCTTCTTCAGACAACATGTAAGAGAACCAAATGTGTATTGTCGAAGGCTTTCATGGCTGGAATCATTGGGTTGTTGTAGGTTTTTCAGGCTATAAGGCCATGTTCTAGAAGCATTCTCTCCTGACATCTCACCTGCATCTATGGCAAGCATATTCAGGGATTGTGAGGTCACAACCAAATGTGTGTTTGTGTGTGTGTTGAGGGAGCACAACTGATCTGGGATTACAAAAGGCATTTGTTGATGGATTTTTAAGGGGATTGTTTTTGTTGTTTGTTTGGTTTTTTTGGCTTGCAATAGCTTGCAAATGGCATGGAAACAGGGATGGGAAACGTGCTGTTGTGCCTTCAACTCATTTCCAAATTATGGCAATCCTATAGTGAATTTATTATGGCCTTTTCTTGTCAAGATTTGCTCAAAAATGGCTTATGTTTGGCCCCTTCTACACTGCTATATAAAATCCAGATTATATGCTTTGAACTGGATTATATGGCAGTGTAGACTCATATAATCCAATTCAAAACAGATAATCTAGATTTTTTTTTGTCGTGTCAGGAGTGACTCCTGGTGTGAGAGAATTGGCCGTCTGCAAGGACGTTGCCCAGGGGACGCCTGGATGATTTGATGTTTTATCATCCTTGTGGGAGGCTTCTCTCATGTCCCCATGAGGAGCTGGAGCTGATAGAGGGAGCTCATCCGCCTCTCCCCGGATTCAAACCTGCGACCTGTCGGTCTTCAGTCCTGCCAGCACAGGGGTTTAACCCACTGCGCCACCGGGGGCTCCTGATAAGATGATTATCTGCTTGATGATCTGCATTATATGAGTGTAGAAATGCCCTTTGTCTTCCTCTCAAGCTAAGAGATTGGGTCACCCAGTGAGTTTTCATGGATAAACTGAATTCAGAACTTGATTTCCAGAGTTGTCATCGAAACATTACATCTTGCTGGCTCTCAATTAAATTTTATACATATATTTGTCTCCACTGAGTATTGAAAAGCCAGGAATATATGCCGGATGCATGTGTACTATTTTTAAAATGCCTTGCCTCTGTGGAAATCCTCCCTAAATTTCCTCTTTGTGTGCTCCCTGGTTTGGGAAAGCACATGTTGCAGATACGTTTTTGGCTCTATAAAGTTGGGTCTCTTCCATTTTGAGGGCAATTTTCTCTTCATCTCTCTCTTACCCTCAGAGGAGATGCAAAACAGCATTGCAATTTCTCAGAGATGCCTTCAATATCTTTGCCCTAGCTCCAACTTATGAAAAGGTAGAATTGTAAGATGGTTTGGGTTCCTTGTTTAGAGAAAAGTAGAATATACAATTAACAAATGAATAAACGAATACCAGAATAATATTGGAGTAACAGGATTGGGTGTGGCTGGTCAGTAGAGCAACTGTACCCAATGTAGTAGATGCAGTTCCAAAGAAGTTCTGGTTTCACAATTTGGGACCCTTTCTGCACTTCCATATGATCTAGATTATCAAATCAGATAATCCACATTATCTGCTTTGATTTGGATTATATGAGTCTACATTACCATATAATCCTGTTCAAAGCAGATAATCTAGATTTTATACGGCAATCTAGAAGGGGCCTGGGACATCTCAGATGTAGTGGTGGCAACTCCTAAAAAAAAGAAGAGCATCTCTTTTGGGTTGTTTACCTGTTTGATGCTGATACGCCAAGGAAAAAGCCACAGTGGGTCTTGAGATAGTTCAACTGTAAAATATGGTGATGTTTTATGGTCCAGCTCTCCGTGGAAAGTGATTCAAGAAATTCCATCTGGTTCCTGAGCAGTTTCCAACTGAAATACCTCACAGATCCAAATCTGTTCAGTTATATCAGAAGAACAGTTTGCTTCAGTGTGTGTTGGTCATCTTGTCAGCAATGGCTCCAAACACCACAGCTTGGTTGAACTGTAGTGGGCCAAGACTTACAATGTCAAGGATTAATTAATTATTCAAGACCAGACAAATCAATTGTCACTGAATCTAGATTAATTGAAACAGCCTAGCTACACTTGTCAATGTGTTTATGGCTGTCTGTGAAATACCCAATCCAAACTGCCATTGTGTGGTCTGTTCCTTGCTTGTAGTTTGTTTTCGAATCCTTGTGCTTGCACGTCATGTGGATTGTGAACTTCCTCATGACTAAATAATTACCTGTTCCTCCCCAAGTGATCTTAAACTGTGAGGCGGGACGTAGAGGGAAGTGCGTTCAGACAAGTAAGCTGGGCCAGAACTGTATAGGGCTTTATAGGTCAGGAGCAGCATTTTGAATTGAGTTCAGAAGTGGACCAGCACTCAGTGGAGCTGACACAGCAAGGGGGTGATATGTTCCCTGTATGTTGCTCCAGTTAGTCATCTGGCTGCTGCCCTTGGACTAGTTGGAGTTTCCAAACAGTCTTCAAAGGCAGCCCCACGTAGAGTGTGTTGCAGTAATCTATTCGGGATGTAACAAGAGCGTGGAGCACCGTAGCCAGATCAGACTTCCCAAGGTACAGGCGCAGCTGGCACACAATTTTAACTGTGCAAAAGCTCCCCTGGCCACCGCCAAAACCTGGGGTTCCAGGCTCAGCGATGAATCCAGGATCACTCCCAAGCTGCGAACCTGCGTCTTCAGGGGGAGTATAACCCCATCCAACACAGGCTGTAACCCTATGCCCTGTTCGGCCTTTTGACTGACCAAGAGGACCTCTGTCTTGTCTGGATTCAATTTCAATTTGTGAGCTCTCATCCAGTCTGACACATACAACTTACATAAGGAGAGAGGACACTGGATTTATTCTTCTCATTACTGAATTTTAATTTCCATTATTTTACTGTGTTTGTGTGTCACAGTAACAAAAAATGAAATAAACATAGACAGCTCATATACTTGGTCAATCTCTGCACAATTTGATCGACAGAATTGCCTGAAAGAAATAGAGATCCCTTAGCAGAGAGGTAAAAAAAAATATAGTGGGATTTTTATTTGTGTTTCTCCCTTTTTTATGGAGGGCATCCACCCCTGAGGTCAGCAAAAATAGGAGACCTACAGTATTGCCATGAAATGAAGTTAAAACCAGTGAATGCATTAAAAAAAACACCTCATCCTCCACGCACACACATCCTATGTACAGAAAAACCTTACTTTGACTCCTCCATCACATCTGACAGGAAACAGACAAGATAAAACAGGGATGGTGATGGTGATGATAATGTCTATGTCATTATTGTTCTTCTTTTTCACTCTGATTCCATTGAAGTTCATATTTCACCTTCTAATTCCAGGGCAGATGGACGACGTTGGTCTTTGGCTTCCCTGCCCTCCTCTGGATATGGAACCAACACTCCCAGCTCCACGGTATCAGTAAGTGCTTCCTGCTTTGAAGAAGGCCTGCAAATGGGGAGGCAAATGCTGGCTGGGTTTTATGGGACCTGTTCCTCACAGCTGGTCAACTGGCTGCTAAGGGACCTTGGGTCAATTCTGCCTTTTCTCTTCCATACAGTCATCCTGCTCCTCCCAAGAGCGCCTTCACCAGCTGCCTTATCAGCCCACTATGGATGAGCTGCACTTCCTTTCCAAACATTTTGGCAGCACTGAAAGCATCACTGATGATGATGGAGGGCGGCGGTCTCCCGCAGTCCGGCCCCGGTCCCGGAGCCTCAGGTAAGAATGGAGTTGGCAAGGGAACCTCCCAAACAACAGCGTCCCATTATAACTTTTGTGAGATTGACACAGTTAGCCTAGATAACAAACAAAAAACACGGAGACACCCATCAGTGAAGATGTAGATGACCCACACTAGTTTGCCCCACACTAGTTTGCATTCTGAAGGGTAGTGGGTCTTAAGACTACAAGAAATACTGAGACATAACTTTGCAAACACTATAGAGCTGCTATCAGTATCTTTCAGCTACCTATACGGCAACTAAGTTGGGTTACCCATTGTCACTGGTATAAGTGACCTAGAATGCTGGATTAAACTAAAATTTGTCTGGAACAGTTCCAATAAGTCCTCTTTTGTTCCATTTTCAGCTGCTTTTAAAATGTCTTTTTTCTCTCCCTCTTTGTTCTCAGCTCACTGCAGTTGCTGCAGATTATGTGCAAAAGTAATTTGCACTCCATCAACTCAGCTATTGTTTTATTTATTTACAGTATTTATATTCCGCCCTTCTCAACCTGAAGGGGACTCAGAGCAGGTTACAGCAAACATTCAGTGCCATTATACACTCACAAGACAGACAACTGTACATAGATAGAGGTATATATAGGCTTTCCCATCTTCAGCATCTTGGAGGCTGTGCTTGGTTCCGGCCACAGGGGGTGCTGTTGCTCCATCTTCCCTGCCAAAGAGCTTTGTTCGTAAATTTCCTCCTTGATCGAATTGCCGGCATTTTCCTGTCATTTCCTTATGGGCACCTTAGTACCTTCCCGCTTTAAAGTGGTACCTACTTATCTACTCATATTTGTTTTCAAACTGCTAGGTAGGCAGAAGCTGGGCTAAAGACCAGGAGCTTACAGTGACCCGGGCTTTGAACTGCTAATCTTTTGATTGGCCAGATTTACTGCAGCTGGCAGTTAACCTGCTGTGCTAATGCACGACCCAGCTAGGAGAAGAATAGAGGAGGAGGTAAAATCCTGCCCTTCCCTGCAGGCTTAGGCAAGAGCAAAGTGCTGCAGCTTCTCCTAGCTTGTATGGTCTATATCGGGGGTCCTCAAACAGAGGGCCAGGTCATAGTCCTTCAAACCGTTGGAGGGCTGGATTATAATTTGAAGAAAAGCATGAATGAATTCCTATGCACACTGCACATATCTTATTTGTAGTGCAAAAAAACCCACTTAAAACAATACAATAATTAAAATGAAGAACAATTTTAACAAATATAAACTTATTAGTATTTCAGTGGGAAGTGTGGGCCTGCTTTTGGCTGATGAGATAGGATTGTTGTTGTTGTGTACTTTCAAGTCGTTTCAGACTTAGGTTGACCCTGAGCGAGGGCCGGTAAATGACCTTGGAGGGCCATATCCGGCCCCCGGGCCTTAGTTTGAGACCCCTGGTCTATATCATTAAAAAAAGCCTTTACCATTTTGATCACACTTTGTGTTGCTAGTCCATATGTGTCACTGGTGTGAAATGTTGGGAGGGTATGTGTTTGCCTAGCAATGCTACACACACTTAATATAGAGTAAGTCCTTCTGTGGTTGTAGATATCCATTTGTTTGCCTCCCACCTTTTTCTCCTAGTCCCAAAAGCTAATTGATAATGTCTCTCTGTAACTTCCAGAATTGCCCCACATGTATCCATATTGTCTGTCCTTTATTAATCCTACATTTATACTTCTTTCAATCCTTAATGGCCTAATTTCCAGAATGAGATAGTGCCCTAGAGAGTAGTCTTAGCTCCTAGAGTTTACCCTTGATGAAAGTAAAAAACCACCCCCCATAATAAAGAAGTAAATGAAAATACTTTCTACAAAGCCTTCCTCTTTTTTATATCACAGCTACAGAAAGCGCTTAGGTATGCTATCACAGCCTGCTAGCCTCACGTGTGAGCATAGCGATCCTTCATTAATTCCCATAAGCTTATCCATCCACGATGTCTGTTTTGTTTATCCTCTATCCAATTATAAAATCGAGGTGACTATCTGCGAAAGGTTTATATAATAGCAAAACCACTGAGCTGTCCCGCCACGTAGTAGATGTGCCCAGTCTGTGTAATGTCGTTTGTGAGAGGTGCTAGCCATATATGAGTATATGTCGTGTGTCCTAATATTTGATTGATAGTGATGGGTTTGTGAACTGCTTGGTACTATCATTAAGATGCTAAATTGTGAGATTGAGCAGTACATAGAAGATTGAGTGTGCCCTAGAGCTGTAAGAGGAGACGCAGACGAGAGTTTAGATGCCATATATCTATAGGCTGACCTGTACATTTGCATATGTCCTATTTTACGCTGAGGACTAGGAGTATGCTTGTATATGTTGTGCTCAGCAGTCTGCTTTAGTCTTAGATAGGCCAACATGGACCTAATCAATTAAAAAATTGATGTTAGTGTAAATATTGTAAGGTAGTTGCACATAGCAAGTTGCAATGTTCTTGTTTTGCTTCTAGCTTATTTAATCCTTATGCGTGTTTTCAGTGTTTTTATGAGTGATGGTCACTTGATGGCCTGAGAGGTGTCTTGTGTCCAAATTTGGGGTCAATTAGCCCAGTGGTTTTTGAGTTATGTTAATCCCACAAATGAACATTACATTTTTATTTATATAGATATAGATGTGGTCCATTCTGTTTGCTAGAACTCACAGTTCTTGACTGGTGCTACTCTCATGAAATAAGCACACAAAAATCCATTCCTGGCTTTTCACCTCCAAGTTCCTTCATTTTGAGCAACCTAATTACAAAAGGCATGGGAGCCTTTTTGTTTTTCGCTTGTTGTCGTTGTGAAACACTTGGGAGTGTGACAGATTTTCCAATCTATTGCAAATCACCCAGAGATCTCTGGGGGATCTTGCTTATCTTCTGTCTACCTTTTCCTATAAAGTTTATTACTGCCTTGGCAATCAAAGAATAAAGATTAAACCCTCAACTAGAATTTGGGAAGATGTGAATGGCACAGAAGAGCTTCTCATCAGCAGCTAATTTGTCCCTTTCTTTTATGCAGCCCGGGCCGGTCTCCTTCTTCCCATGACAATGAGATAGTGATGATGAACCATGTTTACAAAGAACGATTTCCCAAGGTAAGGACTGAAGATCTCACATGTCTCAAAGATAATTCTCTGGAGGCCACTTTATTTGGAAGCCAGAAAAACAGCCAAGAAAACTAATAGCAGCTAAGGGATTCGTTTCACTGCACCATCATTATTGGCAAGTGAAAGAGAGACAAATACTTTGTGGGCCCTTCCACACAGCCATATAACCCAGAATATTAAGGCAGATTTTTTTTGTTGTGTCAGGAGCGACTTGAGAAACTGCAAGTCGCTTCTGGTGTGAGAGAATGTGGGTGGGGGGGGGGGGGGGGGTGGTGGTGGGGGGTGGGGTGGGGGGTTTAGGGGTGGGGGTGGTGGGGGGATGGGGTGGGGGGTGATAGGGTGGGGAGGGTGGGGCGGGGGGAAAGCTGTCTGACTCAGTGACTTTTTTTCTCGTGTCAGGAGCTACTTGAGAAACTGCAAGTCGCTTCTGGTGTGAGAGAATTGGCTGTCTGCAAGGACGTTGCCCAGGGGACGCCAGGATGATTTGATGTTTTTATCATCCTTGTGGGAGGCTTCTCTCATGTCCCTGTATGAGGAGCTGGAGCTGATAGAGAGAGCTCATCCACCTCTCCCCAGATTCGAACCTGCGACCTGTTGGTAATTGACTGCCTTGGAGGATGGTGGACTCTCCTTCTTTTGAGGTCTTGAAATAGAAACTGGAAGGGAATCTTTCTGGAGTGCAATATCTGAGTCCACACTGCCATATAATCCAGTTCAATGTGGATTTTATACATCTATGTGGAAGGGCCTTGCATTGATACACATTAAAACAGCCTCAAATTATTGTCTTTCTGATGTATAGGACTACACATTTCATCATTCTTCGATTGCATGGCAAATAACCATGGCTAATGAATGATGAGATAGCCATAAGTCAAGAATCGACGTAAAGCACCAAACAACAATAGCAGCACCAGTGGGATGGTTTCTATGTAGATCTATCTATCTAGAACAGGGGTCCTCAAACTTTTTAAACAGAGGGCCAGGTCACAGTCCCTCAAACTGTTGGAGGGCCAGATTATAATTTGAAAAAAAAACACACAAATAATTTGAATTCCTATGCACACTGCACATATCTTATTTGTAGTGCAAAAAACACTTAAAACAATACAATAATTAAAATGAAGAGCAATTTTAACAAATATAAACTTATTAGTATTTCAGTGGGAAGTGTGGGCCTGCTTTTGGCTGATGAGATAGGATTGTTGTTGTTGTTGTTGTGTGCTTTCAAGTCATTTCAGACTTAGGTTGACCTTGAGTGAGGGCCGGGTAAATGACCTTGGAGGACTGTATCAGGTCCTCGGGCTTTAGTTTGAGGACCCCTGGTCTAGATGGCAGATCTACACAGCGTTTTAATCATGGTGAGAGTTGAAGACTATCACATTTAAAAAATGCCAGTACTGGGTAGCTTGTCTTAATGGAGTTTTCTTTCTCTGAGTTTTTGATTATCTCACTTGTTCTCATGACTATTTTGGTATTTATACAGACTTGAACAGAATGAAGGGAAGGGTAGGGAAGGGAAACAAGGCTGAACCAAGTAGGTTCACTTATAGACGAAAATAATAACAATAACAACAACACAATGTAACATTTTAAAAAAAATCTGTTCCTGGTTTGAAAGTGTTACGCCTGTTCTATTGTGTGATACTTACTTTGAAAGTAGTTATTATACTCCAAAAACTTCATTTTTGTGGCGCCACAAACTATGTTGAATTGATTGAGAAACCTATAGCAAACTGTGCTGCAGGATGTCCTGCAAAAACAAAGGTTTTGCAGTTTAATAAACCTTTTCCATGTTTTTATGACATTGATAACCCAGGACCAAAAATCGTGTTACATAGTGTAATTTTATCATGTGCCTCTCCTTGAGGCTTGAGATCAGATACAACAGGGTTGAGAAAGAGAGATATGCCCTTGCTATTTAGATAAATAGTCATTATTATGAATAAGCAGTTTTTATTGCTTGTAGTATTGGGAAAAAAGAAGGACCTATAAAGTTGGATGTGATAAAATGCCAATATTTATATATTTATTTATCCCATTTATATCCGCCTTTCTCAACCCAGAAGGGGATGCAGGGCGGCCTTACAAAGGAAACAATTCCATGCCATTTATTAATACATTGGTAGATAAATAAAACTTTTCTTCAAATTATAAACTAACCCCCCTTAAAAACATAGCATTAAAACATCAATTAAAATCACATGATCCAAATCATATTCCAAGACCGGTCTGAGTATTCATTATATTATTTTGTAGTCTTACATTGCCATACTCCTGTTACTGGCTGAAAGCCTGATCCCAGAGCCAATAGAGGGAAAAGAGTGACAGACTAGATAGACCAGTGGTTCTCAACTTGGGGTCCTCAGATGTTTTTGGCCTTCAACTCCCAGAAGTCCTAACAGCTGGTAAACTGGCTGGGATTTCTGGGAGTTGTAGGCCAAAACACCTGGGGATCCACAGGTTGAGAACCACTGAGATAGACAGACAGATATCCTTGTCTTATTATGGATTGAGGGCCAGCTGTGACTTCCCAAACAATTTGCTTAAATAGAAAGATAACATGGAAAGTATTCTCAAGATCTAGAACCTAACTATGCAGAGAATGCAGTCAATCAGCTTGCAGGTGTATGGTTGGAAACCAGGAGTGTGAAAGGAGCAAGATTTAGGATCTAGCATGTATTTATTTATTTTTTCTGATGGAAGAGACTCTGTTTCTTACCTCCACAGGCCACAGCGCAAATGGAAGAGAAGCTGAAAGATTTCATCAGGAGCTATGAACCAGACAGTGTGTTGCCTTTGGCTGACGGGGCACTGAGCTTCATCCACCACCAGGTCATTGAGTTGGCCAGAGACTGTTTAACCAAGTCCCAGGATGGCCTCATCACCACGGTCTACTTCTATGAGTTGCAAGAAAACATGGAGAAGCTCCTGAAAGATGTGAGCAGCACCTTTGTCAATGGAGGGTGTTCAAGAGGGATGTACACAGAAAGTGGAAAGTGTAGGAGCCAGTGGAGAAAGATAGAGGCAGTAGCGTGCAGAACGTGGGTTGACTTTTGTAGGAGAAACTGAGCTTAAGAGTAGGTGATGGGAAATTGAGGAGGCAACCACAACAAAGGGAGCCATGGGATTATAGAGAGTGTGAGTGATATAATGATATGACTCAGAAAGATGTGGGGTTATAAGGGTATCCCATTGGAGGGTCACAGGTTAACTCTTTTGCTCATGACCAACTTCTCCATTTTGTTTGTAGGCCTATGAACGGTCAGAGAGTGAGGAGGTGACTTTTGTCACTCAACTAGTGAAGAAGCTGCTGATCATCATCTCACGTCCAGCTCGCCTTCTGGAGTGCCTGGTGAGGTCCTGAGAGATGCATGCATGTAGAAATGTGCATAAGTGTAGGAATTGGCAAGTGGACTCACAAATATGTGACCCTGTTTTCATCCTGATGGTAATACATCCAGGCGTCCCCTAAGCAATGTCCTTGCCGATGACCAATTCTCTCTTACCAGAAGCGACTTGCAGTTTCTCAAGTCGCTCCTGACATGAAAAACAAAAACAAAAACAGCCCATAACCCTAAACATTTGGGACCCAATTCTGCCAAGTGACTGTGGAGCACCTTAGGAAATGCATTCCTTTTGTCTGGCTTTTGCTTGACATAATGCCAAGGTGGGGTTGTGTAAGGGAAAACTGGAGAAGGAGGCTGGACCTTTTATCATTTTGCAGATTTCAGCCAATGTTGCATGTTTGGCAACCATCCTAGAAGCAACACCTCTTCTACAACAAAGTTTATTTCAAAACTGTGGGTCCTGACCTCATTTGGGATCCTCTCACTGAATGTTGGGGTCGTGACATATTTGAGCAGTTTGCCACCTAGTGTCTGTTTTTGACATTTACACGAATCCAAGTGGGAAAAGGAGCACCAACAGAGTCTATTCTGCCACTGGAGGCTGCAAACCAAGCAGGCCAGCATATCATGAAAAATGTTGAAGATGTTCTGCATTCTGCAGTATCAAGATTTCATCTTTTATGGAAAAACTAGACGTCCCCTGCCATGCATTGCTGTGGCCCAGGCTGTGTATATGTGGTTGTGTCTGTATATGTGTGTGTATATATATATTTGTATATATGTGTGATTTTGGCATGCGTGGTAATGTATTTTTTTTATTTTTTTTGGCTTTTTAAGTCTCTTCTGGTGTATTTTTCAGTCTTTTTATGAGTGATGGTCGCTTCTTGGTCTGATAGGTGTCTTGTGTCCAAATTTGGTATTAATTCATCCAGTGGTTTTTGAGTTATGTTAATCCCACAAACAAACATTACTTTTTTATTTATAGAGATAAACAAGCACGTCCATCTCATTAGTATGGCTTTCATTTTCAATAAGTGGTAAAATTATGTGCATATCAAAGAATGGTTTTAAAATAAATTACTACATAATTTATTACACTATGTAACAAAATTTGAATTTCTTTCTATTTCTGGTTTGAAAGTGTTATTTCTGTTTAATTGTGCAGCACTTACTTTGAAAGTAGTAGTTGTACTCCAGAAATTTTGTTCTTGAGGCTGATGCACACTCTTAGTCCTCATGATAGGCTAACCTTATTTATTTATTTACTATATTTGTATACCGCTTTTCTCAGCCCTCAGGCAACTCAAAGCGGTTAACAATAGCAAAATTCAATGCTCAAAACATCATAAAACAGTTAAAAACAATTAAAACAGTAACATAATAAACAATCAATATAAATCAATAAAACATCTAATTAGCATCTCATAGTTAAAATCAATATCCAGTCTCATCATCCAATTGTTCCATATTCCTATCTTCATTACACTGCCTTTTCAAATGCATGCTCGAACAACCAGGCCTTCAGTCTATTCACTACCCAAATAAGTCGACAGGGAGACCCGTCGGCCGCAGCTAACGGATCTAATAGCTTTAATGCATGTTCATACAGCCAGGTCTTTACTTTCCTCCGGAATGCCAGCAAGGAGGGGGTCGATCTAATATCTGCAGGAAGGGCATTCCACAGCCAAGGGGCCACCACTGAGAAGGCCCTGTCTCTCATCCCTACCAAACATACTTGTGATGCAGGCGGGTTGAATTGGTTGAGACTCTGTGAGACATTCATTGAAAAACTATAGCAAAACGTACTGTAGGATGTCCTGCAGAAATAAAGTTTTTGCAGTTGAATAAACTTTTTTCACGTTTTTATGAACAAATTAGGAAATTACTTTTATAACCCAAGAACAAAAATCAGGTTACATAGTATTATCAGTATTTATTTATTTATCGTGTCAGGCAACCAAACAGTTGTGATATATTTTTACAGAACAAACAAACATACATACATACAAAAGACACAGAGTTTGCAAGCTTGGTAGTTGATTAAATGTCCTTTGACCAGTATCTGGCCACTTGGGGTGCTTCTGGTTATGCCGCAAGAAGGTCCTCCATTGTGCATGTAGCAGGGATCAGGTTGCATTGCAATAGGTGGTCAGTGGTTTCCTCTTCTCCACACTCGCATGTTGTGGATTCCACTTTGTAGCCCCATTTCTGAAGGTTGGCTCTGCATCTCGTCAGGTGCAGCGTGGTTCACCTAGCTGACGGCTGGGGCGAGCACGACAGTCTTGAACCAGAAGCTAATGCGCTGACTTCATTTCCAGTTTGCAACCATGTCTTATTATTTCTATTACTTTTCATATTCTCTCTTTATATCCTGACTCTTTCTCTCCTCCCCTTCGTCATGTTGGTTGCCAGGGGGGGACCAGCTCGGGAGGGGTCGTGAAACATTTTTTTATATCCTAGCTCATTCCGGATCTCTTCTCCTTTACCAGCCACATTGCATATGTTTGAGCGTACCTCTCGGGTGTAGTTTTGAGTGCCCCTAGCCAAATTTTCCTTTTAGGAAAAACTACTACGCTTACAATAACTTTGAAGGGATGTCTCCAGCGAGTGCTATCTCTAGCTAGACGTACGAAAATACGATTTCTTGTGACAGATATAGATCTTGACTTGTGCAACTCGGCTGCATAGCCTCCCCAAACAAGGCGATGAGACCCACCTCTCTGGCAATCAGAGTCGCCAGCGGAGATGTAACTTTTAATTCCAATGACCTGCCCATCTATCTCTTAGCCTTGTTCAGTAAATATATCAGTAAATATATGGTTTGTATACCCATCTTACATACCTACTAGCCATCCCTTGTCATGCGTTGCTGCAGCCCAGTCTGTGTATATGTGTTTTGTGTGTGTATATATTTTTGTATATGTCTGTTTGCGTATATATATGTGGTTTTGCGCATGCGTTGTAATTTTTGTTTTTTGGCTCTTTAAGTCTCTTCTGCTGTGTTTTTGAGTGTTTTTATGAGTGATGGTTGCTCATTGGCTTGATAGGTTTGTTGTGTCCTAATGTGTTATCAATTCGTCCAGTGGTATTTGAGTTATGTTAATCCCACAAACGAACATTACATTTTTATTTATATAGATATTCCCATAGAAATTTCCCAGGCCAGAAGGAGGTCACAATTAGAAAAAAAGTTTGACAAACCATTAAAGGTACAGGAGACCCCTCCAGTTTTCCCTCCAGCAACATTATTCCAGGCTGATGCTCCAAAAGTGGAAATTTTCTCTGATCCAAATGGAGCTTTGGCTCAGATTAAGCATTTCTTCCTGTCTCCCTGTGTGCCTTGCCATCCATCCGGAGGTCACAGGTGCATCATCCGCTTTCCTCCACCTGTTCCAAGCTACTTTTTTTTTAAGGTGCCTGTTGGTTTCCCTGGCAACACACCAGCCAATAGCAAGGCAGCACTTCCTCTACCTGGCCGCCTGCCAGCTGGCTTGTCATTGAGGAGGCTGCCTTTGCATTGAATTCGCCAGATTAATGCAGTGTCTGTTGAGGAAAAGACAAGAGCTGCAAGAAAGCAGCAGCAGAGGGATGTGAGGAGCAGAAATAGATGAGTTTAAAGAAAAAATGGAGAAAAGGAAAACGCTTTAGGAATAATAGCTGGCACAACAAAGCCTTGCATGGGCAGTTCCTTGACAAAACTGAGGGAAAGGTTGATAAGGAGAAGACCTGGTTATGGCTCACGAATGGAACCCTGAAGAAGGAGACAGAAGGCCTGATTCTTGCAGCCCAGGAGCAAGCCATCAGAACCAATGCCATTAAGGCCAGGATTGAAAAATCAGCGATGACCCAAAATGCAGACTGTGCAAGGAAGCTGATGAAACCATGGACCATCTCCTCAGCTGTTGCAAGAAAATCGCACAGATGGACTACAAATAAAGACACAACTCTGTGGCCCAGATGATTCACTGGAACTTATGTCACAAGTACGACCTGTCAGCAGTAGAGAATTGGTGGGATCATAAACCTGCAAAGGTCGTGGAAAATGAACATACAAAAATACTGTGGGACTTTCAAATCCAGACTGACAAAGTTTTGGAACACAATACACCAGACATCACAATTGTGGAAAAGAAAAAAGTTTGGATTATTGATGTCGCCACACAGCCACATTGAGGAAAAACAACAGGAAAAGCTCAACCGTTTATCAGGACCTCAAAATCGAACTGCAAAAGCTCTGGCATAAACCAGTACAGGTGGTCCCAGTGGTCATCGGCACACTGGGTGCCATGCCAAAAGATCTCAGCCAGCATTTGGAAACAATAAACATTGACAAAATCACGATCTGTCAACTGCAAAAGGCCACCTTACTTGGATCTGCGCGCATCATTCGAAAATACATCACACAGTCCTAGACGCTTGGGAAGTGTTCGACTTGTGATTTTATTATATGAAAACCAGCATATAGATCTTGTTTGCTGTGACATACTGTGTCAGCAACATAATAATAATAATAATAATAATAATAATAATAATAATAATAATAATAATGCTCAATGCTATGGAATAATGGGAGTTGATGAGTACAAGAAAGAGAGCCTTTTTGGTTGTGGCCCTACAGCTCTGGAACTTGCTCCCTAAAGAAGTGCATTCGGCCCCTTCGTTCTTGGCCTTTTGCTCTCAGGTGAAAACCTTTTTATGGAAGCAGGCCTTCCCTGACAAATCACAATAGCAGCCTATCTCGGTCAGACAAGGCTCATAAGGCCAAAGACTTGGAGCTCCGAGATTTTTAGTATAATGTTTTAAGTCAACCTCAGTGGCCTGAGGCACAGAGATTTCAATTATTTCAATAAATTATGATAATATATGAGTTTTTTATGCTTATTTATATGTATGTAATTTGTATTTTATGCAATGTGTTGATTTATTGTTCATTGGGGGAATGATGGTTATGTGTATCATGTAGTTTTGTTTTTCTATTTTGTTTGCTGCTTTGAGTTTAATCCGTGGGAGGAAATAAATTAATAATAATAATAATAATAATAATACAAATATTGACACCTGGCCATCCCTATCATCAGATACACTGCTGGAATTTTGAACTGGACACAAGCAGAACTGGATGATCTGGAGCAGGGGTCCTGAAACTAAGGCCCGGGGGCCGGATGCGGCCCTCCAAGGTCATTTACTCGGCCCTCACTCAGGGTCAACCTAAGTCTGAAACAACTTGAAAGCACACAACAACAACAACAACAATCCTATCTCATCAGCCAAAAGCAGGCCCACACTTCCCTTGAAATACTAATAAGTTTATATTTGTTAAAATTGTTCTTCATTTTAATTATTGTATTGTTTTAAATGTTTTTTGCACTACAAATAAGATATGTGCAGTGTGCATAGGAATTAATTCATTTTTTTCAAATTATAATCCGGCCCTCCAACAGTTTGAGGGACTGTGACCTGGCCCTCTGTTTAAAAAGTTTGTGGACCCCTGATCTGGAGAGAAAAACAAGAAAACTGATGACAATCCACTACTCATTACACCCGCATAGTGATGTTGACAGACTTTACCTGCCCAAAAAATTTGTTGCAGAAAGGGAAATAATCTCTTTCAATCTCTGGTTGTTGCAAGGAAAGAATTGTAAGCTAAAACTGTTTTTTTGAGCAACCTGACTCCCTAACTATGCCCTGTGCTGTTGTCTTCCAGGAGTTTAATCCTGAAGAGTTTTACCACCTCTTGGAAGCCGCTGAGGATCATGCCAAAGAGGGACACTTAGTGAAGACAGACATCCCTCGCTACATCATCAGCCAGCTGGGACTCACCCGAGACCCCTTCCCAGGTAATGCAGCCCAAGTCACCTGCGGGAAAGCAGGCAGTCATATACATCCGTACCTGAGCCATGATATTTGTATTGTCCTGTGACTGTACATCTGTGTGTGGTTTCATGCATGTGTCAGCATGCTCATCTTGTAAGTTTTGTGGGTTTGTGTCAAGTCACTCTTCACCTTGGCTTTTAAGTTTGGCATTTACATTAAGTGTAAGAAACAAAGTGGCAGCCTCTACATTTAAGTAATGATAGGATGCAAATACAACTATGAAGAAACACAGAAGATGTGATATCGTGAATGGGATCTGGGTGGGCAGGTTGTCCAGAAGCAAGGCTTTGCAAGTTCTTAGGAGTTCCAAGATGTTATTAAAGAAGCCAAGCTCATTTGACATTCTTCAGGGCAGAGTTGTTAGGTGAGAAGACAGATCACAGACCACTAGTCAGTTCCTAAGTAACCATTTTGAGCTAGCATACTGCTGAGTTAGTTAGACCTTCGTCCAGAGAAGAGGAACCATTTTCCATATGATGTTATTGGATTGCCACTCCTATTGGCTGTAGCCCTCATAGGCAATGGTGATGGCTGATAGTACTTGCAGAGCAGCAACATTTGGAAGGCAACACATTCTCAAACCTTGCTTCTAGCACTGTACTTTTGACAATTATAAGCAAGAGTTTACTCTGTGGTTCACTTAACACAGATCAGCAAATCCTTTAAAGATATTTAATGCATTTACTTTTGCTTTGTAGTTTTAGAGCATCCTTACACACAAAAATTCTAACCTCATCCATTGCACCATGCATCTGTACTGTAGAGGCATTGGCCATGAGAGGGAATTGAGTTAGCTTTTGTGGAAAACAAAGTCCACAACAAACCTCTTCTCATATCATTCCTAAGACTTAACTTTATCTAAAATGGCAAACCTGTGTCTAGACCACTGCTTCTTAAACTGTGGGTCCCAATTCTCAATGGTGTCCCTTTAGCTCAATGTTTGGGCCGTGAAAAAATTGGCCAACAGGAAAAGGTTTCTGAATGCCACCTATTAACACAAATCTGATAGTTAAGGTGGACTCTGTGAAAAATGTTTCAACTGTATTCCTCAAAAAGTAAAATCAGCATCAGGGACAAAACAATCAGGGACATCTAATCACCTCTCAACAAAAGATTGCCCCAGGCACTGCCAGGCCATCAAATGCTAATCTAGGTGGTCAGTTGAAACATTCACACCTAGCTCCAGCAGACAAGAGTTCTTTGCTCCACCCTGGTCATTCCACAGATATATAAACCCATTTTCCTAGTTCCAACAGACCTCACTACCTCTGAAGATGCTCGCCATAGATGCAGGCGAAATGTCAGGAGAGAATGCCTCTAGAACATAGCCATATAGCCCGAAAAAACTTACAACAAACCAGTGATTCCATCCATGAAAGCCTTCGACAATACATTAAAATCAGCATGTTTAATATTTCATCGAGTCTCAACCAATGCAACATAGTTTGTAGAAGCCACAAAGATGAAGTTTCTGGAGTATAACAAATACTTTCAAAGTTAGTACCACATAATTAAATAGTAAATAACGCTTTCAAACGAGGAACAGAACATTTTTCATTTTTTTTGTTACATAGTGTTATCAGCAAATGTTTGATATTCATATCAATTTTATATACCTATATACCTGGGGTCACGAGAAGATTTCTCAGATGGAAAGGGGTCAAACATAGGAAAAATTTAAGAAGCTCTGATCTAGACCATCAGTGCCCCACTGATGTTCAACTATAGATAAAGAGAAAGCATAGGCTCTACTTGCTCACTTTCAGCTGACGTTTAAACGAAGTATATACTCTGTATTGTGGGCCTTTCAGTCATTTCTTCCTTGTGACAACTCTTTAAGGTGAATTTATGACAAAGTCTTCTGAGGACATTTGTCCAGAGAGGGGTTGCTTTGCTTTGAGGCAGAGAGAATATGACTTGCTCAAGGTTACTCAGCAGGTTTCCATGGCCAAGCAAAGATTTTAATCTTGGTCTCTGGCGTTCCTAGTCCAACACTCAAAAAACTGCCACACCGCACTGGCTCTCTTTGTAGTCTCCATGTAAAAATTGCTGGGAAATCAAAAGGGAAGCAGCCTGGTTCCTGTCCCACCATATTGTATAGTTCCCATAGTAATTAATCAAGAATCCTTTTGCTTGATGCTTGATGTGTGTATTTTGTGTGTGGAGGTAATATAGTAATAAGGAGGAACAACATTCAGTCATGAGAATTATATCCGGGCTCAAGAGTGGCACCCTTGGGTAGGTCTAGCAAAGATGTAGACCTTGGTAGACCTGCTTATATTGGCTCTGTGTTTTCATTTTAACCTATACCCAATATTACACATAATATCAGGCAGCAGTATCTGGCTAAATGTGCCAAAATGTCACTGTTGCATACTGTCTTTTTGAAAGATAATCTCGGTGCTTGCAAGCCTTGGGGGAAGAATAGAGGGAATGCTTTTGTTGGGGATGGACAGATCATCATCTCTAAAGGCGGGACTAGCCCTAGCCCTTGGATTTTTATGTTTCTTAAATTAGATATTGCTCTGTTCCAGGAAATTTTAATGCATGGTTGTTAGTGAAGACATTTGTCTGTACCTCAAAAAGCCATAAACAAACATGCAGGGCAGTTTAAGAGATATGTGGACTTAAGTTTGGAGTATATTCCTCACAACTGTTAGAAGAACACCCATCAATGGGACCTTTTTGTCCATGATGTTTTCAAACCTGGTCCTATCTTAACTAGTTTATTCTCTCCCTCATTTTTTCTCCTTTTCTGTGTTTCAAACACACACACAAGCAGCTTTATGTAATTGATGAATAATGACTAGATGTTAAGAGACAGAGGGATAAACAGATTCAAAACAGTTTTGTTTTACTTAGTCTCCTATTAAGTGATTTATTTTTCCTCAACAATTTTGTTTTTTTTTTAAATAAACTGTCTTGAACTAGTTGCCATCTGCTGCATTGATTCAAAAAAGTCAAACCATATTGAAATAATGTTGAAATATAGACTTGAATATAGGCTTGCCCTCGGTAGCGTAATGGGTTAAACCCTTGTGCCAGCAGGACTGCTGACTGACAGGTCAGCGGTTTGAATCTGGAAAGTTCAGGCTGAGCTACCTCTGTCAGCTCCAGCTCCCCATGCAGGGACATGAGAGAACCTCTCACAAGGATGGTAAAACATCAAACATCCGGGCGTCCCCTGCAATGTCCTTGCAGACAGCCAATTCTTTCACACCAGTAACGACTTGTAGTTTCTCAAGTCGCTCCTGACACACACACACAAAAAGACTTAATTTCATTACCTAGGCTGGACATCTTCCTTCACATCAGGTGAAACATGTGGGTGACATGGAGTGACTTTCTAGCATTTTTAAAACAAAAAGACACAGAGAAAAAAAGTTTGGGGTTTGATCAGATCAGAATCGGAGAGGGGGGGATCAGATCAGAATCGGGGGGGGGGGTCCCAGTTAAAATGCACTCTCCCCGATTTTTTTTCACTCCACAGGGGAGAAAATGGGCACATCTTAGGTTGTTTTGCCCAGAATCCAGAAGAGTCTCTACTGGAGGTCAAAATCTTGACACCGAAATAAACAAAAAGGACCAAATGCTCCAAAAGATCTCCAAAAGATCTCATGTCAGAGTAGTTGTTTGCCATGCAGTTGAATTTATCAGCATTGTTTTATCATGCCCACAAATTAGTTAATCAAAATACATTTGCATGCCTATTAGATAGAATAGATTCCAGCATCATCTTACACTTGTTAAAGTGGTGTCTGAGTGTATTTGTATTAATCTATAGTTGTTCATTTGTGTGGACAGGGTTTCACAATTCCTTTTATATTCCAGTGTGCATGTAAATGAAACTTCTATTATATGCAAATCTCCATGCACATACTTATTTGCATATCTCTTTCAGACGTGTATTATGATGCAATGCATGTATGATTTGGTGTCAACACAGTTGTGCCTCCCAATTTGCCCACTCTCTCACATCCACACTCATCAGTTAGCATGTGCATTTAGGACTATGCATGGCTGTGCGTATGTCTCGGTTTCACCCTTTCTGTGCTTCCATGAATGACAATGGGGTTGCTAAAGCCTTGTTCCCTTGGCTCTCCCTTTGGCTCTTTCCAAACCCTGTTGTCGTCAGATGTGCTGTATGTGGAGGAGCACGATAGCGGAGGATCCAACACACCTGACACAGAGGAATTTGCCGAGGTCAGTATTCGGGGGGCAGCTGAACCAACCTCATCCGAGCTCTGTGCCTTTCTCCCCCAGCTTTCTTACACACACAAATGCACACAATCTGCATCCTTATCTTCTCCGCTCACTGTTTCTGCTACTGTTGCCACAACCCAAGCCACCTGGTTGATACTAGGAGGGGGACGGACAGTGCAAGAGAGTGGCAATTGCCACTAGGCCTCAGGTGGGCATCTCTTTTGAGCGGAATTGGGACAGGCAAATCAACATGAAGAAACCTGGTTTCAGAATAGCTGGCTTGGTTGTGTGTATTTAAAAGAGGGGGCAAGCATGGTCTTATATATGTTGTCAGATTGCATCTCCCAGCAGCCCCTAGGCAGTACGAAGAAACCCAGCATTTAATAACATCTGGAGGGCACGCAATTCCAACCTACTTATTTCTACAGTAAGCTCTCCACATTTGCTGGGATTAGGGGGGCAGGACTCCCATGAAAGTGGAAAACCCATGGAAAAGAAAACTTCTATCATTTTCTTTCTAGGAATCTGTGGGTCCTCAGGTGTGACTCTGTGATCAACCTCTATTGCAGTGACAACTAGTTAAACATGAGCCAACAATGTGATGTGGCGGCAAAAAAAGCCAATGGGATTTTGGCCTGCATCAATAGGAGCATAGTGTCTAGATCTAGGGAAGTCATGTTACCCTTCTATTCTGCTTTGGTTAGACCACACCTGGAATATTGTGTCCAATTCTGGGCACCACAATTCAAGAGAGATATTGACAAGCTGGAATGTGTCCAGAGGAGGGCGACTAAAATGATCAAGGGTCTGGAGAACAAGCCCTATGAGGAGCGGCTTAAAGGAGCTGGGCATGTTTAGCCTGAAGAAGAGAAGGCTGAGAGGAGATATGATAGCCATGTATAAATATGTGAGAGGAAGCCACAGGGAGGAGGGAGCAAGCTTGTTTTCTGCTTCCTTGGAGACTAGGACGCGGAACAATGGCTTCAAACTACAAGAGAGGTGATTCCATCTGAACATGAGGAAGAACTTCCTGACTGTGAGAGCCGTTCAGCAGTGGAACTCTCTGCCCCGGAGTGTGGTGGAGGCTCCTTCAGCCTACCCCCTGCCAAGAAGCAGAAAATTGCATTCAAAGCACCCCTGACAGATGGCCATCCAGCCTCTGTTTAAAAGCCTCCAAAGAAGGAGCCTCCACCACACTCCGGGGCAGAGAGTTCCACTGCTGAACGGCTCTCACAGTCAGGAAGTTCTTCCTAATGTTCAGATGGAATCTCCTTTCTTGTAGTTTGAAGCCATTGTTCCGCGTCTTAGTCTCCAGAGTAGCGACATGTAATGAAAATAGAGACATTGTTGGTGTTTGCCTCTAGTGAGTTTTGATTCACGAATCTGCTCTCTTGGAGATGAATGAAGGTGGTCTTTCAGAAACATCGTAAGGTGGTGTTGTACCCTAGAGCAGGAACAGAGCCCTCTAATCATTAACACCCCACACCATGAATAAAGGAAGAGTCCTTTTTATTTGAAGAAATACTGGAGCCAATAAAAGAGATGAGGTAAAAGTCCAAAAGCAAACAAGCCAAACAAGCATCGTCATCCATCTCCCCCGGGTGGAAGGACTGCAGGCGTCCAACCAGCAGTAAGCAGTGTCCAAACATAGGAATAATAGCAATGTCCAAAAAGCTTGCACAAATAATCCAATGCAATGAATGTTCCAAAGCCTTCAATAGGAAACCATGAACAGACTAGCCCCTGCTAATCCACTTGAAAAGCAAGATTTATCCTTGGAGACGAGACCACATGAAACAGGATTTTCCATGAGACTTGAGCTTGATTCCAAACGATGCCTGATCTGAAGAAGATTCTCTAAGAGCCCTCTATAAATCCCAAAAACTGGTTCCTACTCTCCCCAGTTTTTGGCCTTAACTGCCGAATTCTTTCTGATCTGCATAAACATTGGGCCTCTCGACGGTTCTGGCTAATTTCCAGACAGCGACTGGTCTTATCTATCTCATTAACTCTACCAGGTATCAAGCTATCTTGCAAAATCGAGCCTGGAGAAGGGAGTAAACTTTCTTCCCTTGCTCTGACAAACTTTCTCATGGGAATTTGGCCTTTCCCCTGAACCCTCTCGATCAGTGTCTGCAGTAACCTTATTGTCCAAAGTGTCTCCATTTTGCACCTCATCCTCATTGATCACATCAGACTGACTATCCAAATCAGAACCAGAAACATCAGAAGCATTAGGAGGTGGAAACACAATCACAGATTCAGGCTCAAACACTGGCTGAGGCCCAACAATGAAAAGAGATTGGGATTTTTGATATTTATTGATCTGCAGACTTGAATTGCATGTTTTGTTTTTTGATGGTAACACAATTACAGGTCATGACATTCCTTTGAGATGGAAAAGAAGATACAAATGTGTAACATATGTCAAATCAATTCCTATAGAAAGAGGGTGTGTCTGCAGCTGTTTCTTTCTTGTGTGCACTCATCAAATTTGGGACGTTCCCCCATAGCTGGACAGGCAGGAAACGTCCTTCCTAGAACAACATTACCAGGCATAACGTTGGAGATAAAATTATTATGAAGCCGTGCCCATGGTGGCTTCCATACCATTGGCCTGCGGAGTCTTCCTAATTTTATTTTGAGTTTTTAGGAATGTATCCAGAGTCTTGGGGAATAGGGTTCAGCACCTTGGATGGTTCAAGTTTCGATTCAAACCTGGAGCATATTTGTTGCCTTGCTGATATGGAAGCTATCAGAAGACATTTTCTACAGCAGCTTCTCAATCTCCAAGCTTGCAAATACATAAGTCCATCCTGAACAGTATCCTAGCCAATTAGGCAAGAAGATGACATGGATCAAATATTTTTTGTGTCATATTTGCCCTTAGCTATATGGGGAAACCAGAATCAATCCTTGTGATAGCCCTTATGAAAGAAAGAAGTAGAAGGATGCTAGGAGTTGGATGTATCTTATATATGTTCAAAGGATTATAAAAACTGGGTAGGAAAGGTAAAGGTAAAAGTTTTCCCCTGACATTAAGTCCAGTCGTGAAAGAAAGGAAAAGTTACAAGAAATAACAGAAATTAAAATAGTGAAATAAATTAAATACGTAGGAATTATAATATCAACTTCCAATTCACACCTGCTAAAAGATAATTATGAAAACGCCTGGAAAAATATCAAAAAGAAATTAGATAACTGGAAATTCCTTAATCTGTCACTAGTAGGCAATCAAAATGAGTGTTTTACCTAGAATGATCTTTTTATTCCAAACGATCCCCATCCTCAGATGGTGGTGCTCATCTCCATTTCTAAGTTACGGAGCTGGCATTGTCCATAGACACCTCCAAGGTCATGTGGCCAGCATGACTGCATGGAGCACCATTAATTAGAATGTGATTTTTGCCCTGAAGAAATGCTACCCTGTTTCCCCCAAAATAAGACATACCCATAAAATAAGCTGTAGCAGGATCGCTAAGCATTTGCGCAATATAAGCCATACCTCAAAAATAAGACATAGTGATAGACATAGCTATGCAGCGTACTCGGTTTCCCTGAGAATAAGACATACCCATAAAATAAGCCATAGCGGGATTTCTAAGCATTTGCGCAATACTATGCCCCAAAAATAAGACATAGTGATAAGACATAGTACAAGGTTGCCTCCTCCATCAGGTCCTGGTGGGTCGTTCTGTGCATGCTGAGACATAGAAAGTCAAAGTCAAAGTCTCTTCAGTGAATTGAGGAGCAGGACACTCTGCTTTAGGTATTGTGTGTCCTCAGGGGGAAGAAGTAAAGTTGTGGCTGCCGTTTACTGTGGGTCTCTCTCCGCCAACACTGTGGGTCTCTAACACACCAGTAAAGCTTCTGCTCCCCAGCATTGACCAGCAACAGTTTGTGGGTCTTTCTCACCCCACACAAACACCAGGGTATAGAGGAACAGCTTCAGCAAGCAGTCTGCTACTGAGCCCAGAGAGATCATCCCATAAATGCAGATTGTTGTACCATCTATACACATAATAAAAATGAAAAATGTGTATGTGTGTATGTGGCGGAGGTATCCACTTACACAGACAACTCAACTGACAATGAATCTTTACCACACTTGGCACACAGATCCATCATGGCCAACTGTAAATACAGGCAGGATTTGGGGGTGACTGCCCTTGGCATATGGGAGTTGCAGTTCATCCTTATCCAGAGAGCACTGAACCCAGATGATGACAGATTTGGACCAAACTTGACACAGAGACCCAATATGGCCAACTGTGCATACGGGCCTGGTTTGGGGAGGATTGAAATTGTAGTTCACTCACATCATGTATTTTCTAATGGGAGCATTCATAAAAAAACAAAAAACAAAATCAAAGACTGACTTTTCCCTTTTACTAATTAACTAAATAATAACAAACCATGCCTTTTCAAATAATCCGGGCACTGAACTTAATAATAATAAGACATCCTCTGAAAATAAGCCATAACTTTTCTTCTGGAGTAAAAATAAATATAAGACAGTGTCTTATTTTCAAGGAAACACTGTGTGTGGACATTTTTTTCTCTATGTGAAATATTTATTTAGTAAGGATGAGAGAGGCAGAGAAGAAGAAAGAGAAATTCCCCCCAGATGGCATGAACTAGAAGTATTTCACCTCAGAGCTTGGATAAGTTTCTCTTTGGGAAAACATCTCCCAAAATCCCTTGGGGCATTGCTTAGGGCTGTTGTAGTACCATAAAAGCTTTCTTTGGATTCGATGGGGAGAATATCTGGGTTGCAGTATCATTTATGGCCCATTCATTGCTCTGAAATAAAGAGAATGAAGCAAAGATGACTATGAAAAGGAGGCTCAGTGCATAATGCCTGTGAAATTTCTTACAATGCTGAGCTTTCATCTGCCATACACAATACAGTTTCAGAATAATGCCCCATCATTTCCATTGTAAAGGTGAACAGTATTTGCAAGTGACTTATTCCAGGCTCAAAAGACAGCTTTTGCAAATAAGGCATTTTAAAATGGTGGGACCGAGTTCCTATCTCCATTTGTACTGTGTGTTCATGCTCAATATGCTTACCGTTACAGAGTCGTGGGACTACTCCAAAGCCAAAAAAGCCACCAGGAGAAGGAGACTTCGAAACGATCAAACTAATAAGCAATGGGGCATATGGGTGAGTGGGTTTGCTCAGATGCCAAGCTCCTTGGGTCTGTTTGCATGGGAGGTTGTCTTTGCTGGCACTTGGGTTTCAGATAAAGTCTCAGTCAATTCTACATAGTTTGTGGCAGCCACAAAAAAAAAAGTTTCTGGAGTAGAACTACCACTTTCAAAGTAAGAATCACACAATTTAACAGGAAATTACACTTTCAAACCAGGAACAGAATATTTTGCAAATTTTGGATCACTCCTGAGTGAGATACTAGGAAAAGTAAGTTGCAGCATTGACTGTTTATAAATGGACCTAGTTGCTCTGGGCTCATAATCATCTTTCATTGTGGTATTCTATTTTTGTTTCATTTTAAAAATATTTTAATTAGCAGTTATCTATCTATCTATCTATCTATAGAGAGAGAGCGCAAGTGCTGGTTTTATAGTTCCTTCTTAATATTGGGGGATTCTAACCATGAAACTGGTGGAGCAGGAATTGAATGAAGGCTTTCCAGTTCTCTATCCTGTTCTTCGAAGGGTGTCTTTGAGTGCTTTGTGGTTGGGCTAAAACTCTGATTTCTGATCCTGGCAGAGGAGTTCTGCCTTGTTACTTGGAGCACAAAAATGCCTCTTGCTAACCACTTCTCTTCTTCCTTCTCCTACTCCAGAGCTGTGTATTTGGTACGGCATAAAGAGACCCGGCAGCGTTTTGCCATGAAGAAGATTAACAAGCAGAATCTCATCCTGCGCAACCAGATCCAACAAGCTTTTGTAGAACGTGACATCCTGACATTTGCAGAGAATCCTTTCGTGGTCAGCATGTTTTGTTCTTTTGAGACCAAGCGCTACCTCTGCATGGTCATGGAGTATGTTGAAGGTACGCAGCCCCAAGAGTGCAAAGGGGCAGAAAGCCCATGATCCGTAGTTTCTAGGCTAGCATTTGCCTATACTCTTCCAGAACTGCAAATGGGCCAAAAGGAAGCACTTCTGTTAGTTTAAACCAAGGGTCCTCAAACCTTTTAAACAGAGGGCCAGGTCACAGTCCCTCAAACTGTTGGAGGGCCGGATTATAGTTTGAAAAAAACATGAATGAATTCCTATGCACACTGCATGTATCTTATTTGTAGTGCAAAAAACACTTAAAAACAATATAGTAATTCAAATGAAGAACAATTTTAACAAATATAAAATTATTAGTATTTCAAGGGAAAATGTGAGCATGCTTTTGGCTGATGAGATAGGATTCTTGTTGTTGTGGTGTGCTTTCAAGTAGTTTCAGACTTGAGTTGACCCTGAGCGAGGGCCGGGTAAATGACCTTGGAGGGCCGTATCCGGCCTCTAGTTTGACGACCCCGGTTTAAATTAACCATAGAAATGGTATATATTCCAGAGTAGTGTTTCTCCAACATAGGTCCCCATCTGTCTTGGACTTCAATTCCCAGAAGCCCCAGCCAGCAATGGAAAAGACAAAGGTTTAGGAAACAATGTTCTAGAGCAGTGGTTCTCAACCTGTGGGTCCCCAGGTGTTTTGACCTACAACTCCCAGAGATACTAGCCAGTTTACCAGCTGTTAGGATTACCAGCTAGTGTAGAGTATATTACTATGGATATCTATTTTTTATGTCATATCAGAAGTGCCTTGAGAAACTTCAAGTCGCTTCTGGTGTGAGGGAATTGGCTGTCTGCAAGGACGTTGCTCATATTTTGATGTTTTACCATCCTTGTGCGAGGCTTCTCTCATGTCCCCGCATGGGGAGCTGGAGCTGACAGAGGGAGCTCATCCGGCTCTCCCCGGATTCGAACCTGTGACCTGTCAGTCTTCAGTCCTGCCGGCACAGGGGTTTAACCCACTGTGCCACCGGGGGCTCCTGTGATACATCATCTTTCACTAGTAACTGTGTCACTTCCTACTCTTTGAGACCTCATGGACCATCCCACGCCAGATATCCCTGTCGGCCGTCACCACCCCCAGCTCCGTCAAGGTCAGTCCAGTCACTTCAAGGATCCTATCCATCCATCTTGCCCTTGGTGGGCCCCTCTTCCTTTTTCCTTCCTTTCCCCCCAGCGTCATTGTCTTCTTCTAAGCTTTCCTTTCTTCTCATGATGTGGCCAAAGTACTTCATCTTGGCCTCTACTATTCTTCCCTCCAATGAGCAGTCGGGCTTTATTTCCTGAAGTATGGACATAATGGATAGCTATACAATGTCAGTTATAGGGAAGATACATCTCCCTTGTAAAAGTAGCTTCACTCGTTTATTTCCAGGTAGAATTAATCCCTGTAAGACCTGAGTCCAGACTATCTGAAAGACCATTTCAGATGATACAAATGTGCCAGAGCTTTGAGATCCTCAGGGAAAGGTTTTCTCTCAGTTCCACTATCAATACAGGCTGGCTTGGTGAGGACACAAGAGAGAGTCTTCTCAGTGGCTGCTCCCATCCTCTGGATCACTCTTCTGTCAGAAGCTAGGCTGGTCCCCTCCCTGCTTTTCTTTCCCCAGCAAGTCAAAATGTTCCTACCCATGCAGCCTTTTAACTTGTAAACAGAAGATTTTTTAATGGGGATATATTATTCTTTTTGGTTTTTTTAATGATTTTATACTGTTTTATATTGCTTAATTTTTATGTATTTGTTTGTTTTGGAACCTGCCTTGGGTCCCACTCTAGAAGAAAGGTGACATATAGAGGCAATGAATGAATATTCCCTGTGTCTGTTACTAATTATACTCAGTTTGACAAACTACAGCCTTGCTTTCATGTGAGGATAAAAGCTGAAATTAAATTATAGCCCAGTGGTTATGCCAACAAATTGCATGTAGAAGATCACAGATTGACTTCCTGAAAGTTCTAGATAGAGATGGGAAGAACATATCTCTGAAATCCCAGGGAACTGCTGGATTAAATGAATGGGTGGTCCTAGTCTCAAATAGGTTACCATGCTCCTGAGGCACATCATTGTCAATTGCAGTTGGAAAGCTTGAAACATTGCTTACTTGGACTAAAGCTTTCAATTCCCCCAGTCAGCAAGAGCTAGCAGATATTGCAAGAAGTAACTTTTCAAAGAGATGATAGGTGAAAATTGCAATTGGGATTGTCTGCAGAGATGATGATGATGATGATGATGATGATGATAAAACTTGATTTATACCCTGCTCCATCTCCCCCAGGGGGACTCTGTGCGGCCACGTCCATCGATACAGTACACACAATGTAACACAAAAGCATAACAAAACCAGAAAATAAAATACATAAAATGCAAAACCAATATAATAAGCGACACAACAATGTAAAATCAAACATCAAAACACAAAAGATCACACTGGGCAGGGCCAAATTCAAAGATAAAATTTTAAAACACTGGGAAATAGGACCATGTAAATTATCGGGAAGGAGGATCCGGGGATGAGGAAGGATTTAATTGCACGAACCATAAAATAAAGTGCTTCTGAGATGCTGCAGTGCATTATTTGGATTGTGCAATTTGTCCAACTTGGCAGGATAATATATGTTGTTTGCAGATCTAGTCCCAGGGCAGAGCAGTGATCCACTCTGGGAACAGAAAAGGGACTTTGCACTCTTCCTAACCATGTCATCTTTCTCCTGGCAGGTGGGGACTGTGCCACATTGTTGAAGAACATAGGAGCCCTGCCAGTGGAGATGGCCCGCATGTACTTTGCTGAGACTGTCCTGGCCTTGGAGTATTTGCACAACTATGGCATTGTCCACCGTGACCTCAAGCCTGACAAGTATGATGCCTGAGAGCAGGGGAGGGCACTCATTTGGGTTTAGGTTATGAAGCGGGGAGAGCAAGAACACACTTGGCTCATCCTGGCTGGCATTCCTTGGATTCCTCTGCCATTATTCATGGCAGAAAGTGGCTGTGATCTGCTCCCTCTGATGGATCTCACTCTGACTTCCTCCCCAGCTTACTCATCACCTCTATGGGACACATCAAGTTGACTGACTTTGGTCTCTCCAAGATGGGGCTGATGAGCCTTACTACCAATTTGTACGAAGGCCACATTGAGAAGGATGCAAGGGAGTTCCTAGACAAACAGGTAAGATGCTAATGCTGTCTGTCTGTCTGTGTAGGCATATACCAGAAGGCAGCATATGATTTTTTTAATTGATTTTTTTATTGAAGGATTGGGTTTGGGGTACAATTTAAGTATTGGTATATCATAAAATTTAAAAGTGCAATTAAAAGTTGTGACTATGTGAAGAAGATGAAGAGGAAAAAGGAAGAGAGAAAGAATAGCATAAAAGGAAGAAAAAGAGGGGAAAGAAAAAAAAGGAGAAACTAGAAAAGGAAAAAGGGGAGGTACAAGAAGGGGTTAATATCTGATTTAATTACTGCTTCCCCGCGTAATTGTGTTAGTATTGTTGTGTTCCTTTGAAGCTTTCTTCTCACCAGCCTATATTCGTTTGATGTTGAGGTAATTCTTAATTTTTTGAGGTAATTCTTATTTTTAAAAACTTATTTAGAAAGAATCTAACACAATTTGTCAACAAAACAGTCTCATTGATACAAATAAGTTGTCAAAATCTAAAATGCAAATGCAGAGCAACAGTTTTCATAGTTTTCATAGTTCGAAATGAGAGGCGGATGAGCTACCAGCTCCAGCTCCTCATGCAGGGACATGAGAGAAGCCTCCCACAAGGATGATAAAAACATCAAATCATCTGGGTGTCCCCTGGGCAACCTCCTTGCAGACGGCCAATTCTCTCACACCAGAAGCGACTTGCAGTTCCTCAAATCGCTCCTGACACACAAAAAAAGCATTTAGGGTTTTCTGACCATTCTGCCAAACCAAGGAACGGCCAGAGTTTCATGCTAGAGTGAGATTCCTAGGGCTTGGTGAACCAATATCTGTGGTAGCTGAATGAAAGCAAGTGTCTTTACAGGTTTGTGGGACCCCGGAATACATTGCTCCTGAAGTGATTCTCCGCCAAGGCTACGGGAAGCCAGTGGACTGGTGGGCTATGGGCATCATCCTGTATGAGTTCCTGGTGGGCTGCGTACCTTTCTTCGGAGACACTCCTGAGGAGCTCTTTGGTCAAGTCATCACTGGTATGTGGAGGCCAAGGATTGGTCATTGTGATTAGGGTTAGAGTTAGTGTACACATATATAATGTGGTTAGGGTTAGTGTGCACATATGCTCACTGACCTTAGAACAGGGGTCCTCAAACTAAGGCCCGAGGGCAGGATACGGCCCTCCAAGGTCATTTACCCGGCCCTCGCTCAGGGTCAACCTAAGTCTGAAATGACTTGAAAACTCACAATAACAACAACAATCCTATCCCATCAGCCAAAAGCAGGCCCAAACTTTCCATTGAAATACTAATAAGTTTATATTTGTTAAAATTGTTACTCATTTTAATTATTGGATTGTTTTAAAGTGTTTTGTTTTTTTGCACAACAAATAAGATGTGTGCAGTGTCTTTAGGAATTCATTCATGGGTTTTTTTTTCAAATTATAATCCGGCCCTCCAATAGTTTGAGAGACTATAACCTGGCCCTTTGTTTAAAAAGTTAAGGACCCCTGCCTTAGAATTTGCTCTAAGGGAATAAAGTTCTCCTGGTCGTAGGTGGCAAAATGCCAGAGGTTAGAGAGTAAACAACTCAATTAGTTTTGGAAAGGCATGACCTTTTAGAGAACATAACTATTTGGGAAATCAAAAATCTCCATTGCCTTTTGGAAACGTGACCCTTTTGGGGATTAATTGGCCTTCACACTATTTGGAATAATCATAACCCTTTTGTAAAGTATGATCTTCCTGGGAAGAGTTAAATACTTGCACAATACAGACTGACTACATTCTGCAGCATACTGACATTACTGACTTCTAAACTGTACTGCTTTCTAAAATAGAGTCTGAGTCTGAATAGTCCCAGATCTGATCACATGGTCTGCAGTGCCTCCCACAACCCCAAGCAACATAGAGTTAAGGGAAACTACATACCAAAACTTACATATACAATACAGTAAGGGTTATAATTATTCTAAATATTATACGCATAGCAAATAACTAGTGTAGGAGGCTTGTAGAAGGTTGCTATTTCCAACAGTTAGATGTAGAAAAGGATATAGAGAGAAAATAGCAAAACACAGGACAAAGGGCTGGGATGAGTTGAAATCTCTGGATTGAGAAACAATGTGTTGCTCGCCCATATGAGTTTGCATGACAAGAAATATAGTTATCCCTGCATGGCAGGGCTTTGGACTGGATGGCCCTTCCAGTTCTATGATTCTAACTAGCCGTCCCCTGCCATGCATTGCTGTGGCCCAGTCTGTGTATATGTGTTTTGTGTGTGTTTATGTGTGTATATATATTTGTGTATATATGTGTGGTTGTGTATATATATATGTGTGTGTGTGGGGTGTGTGTGTATGCATGTGTGTATATTTGTGTATTTATGTTTTTATATGTGTACATGCATATTGTGTATATATGTGTGCTTGTCTATATGTATATTTGTGTGTATATTTGTGTGTGTATGTATGTGTATATGAATATGTTTGTATGTATGTGTATATGTATATGTGTGCATGTGTATGTATATATATATGTGTGTGTGTACATATTTGTGTGTTTATATGTGTACATGCATATTGTATATATATGTGAACTTATCTATATGCATATTTGTGTGTATATGTGTATGTATGTGTATATGTATATGTGTGTGAATGTGTCTATGTATATATGTATGTGTGCATGTGTATATGTATTGCTATGTGTGTATGCCTGTATATTTGTGTATGTTTGTGCATATATGGGTTGTATTGTTTTAATCTACTGCTGTAAACCGCTCCGAGCCAAATTGGGATTGGCGGTATACAAGTCAAATAAATAAATAAATAAATAATATGTGTGTGTGTGTGTGTGTGTGTATGAATGTGTGCATGTGTTTATGTATATGAGTGTATGTGTATATGTATATATTGTGTATTTTTGGGGGTTTTAAGTCTGTTCCGCTGGGGTTGTGTGTTTGTGTGCTTAGGGGTGATGGACACTTGTTGGACTGTTAGGTGTGTTGTGTCCAAATTTGGTGTCAATTCGTCCAGAGGTGTTTGAGTTATTTTAATCCCACAAATGAACATTACATTTTTATTTATATAGATTGGAAGGGCCATCCAGTCCAACCCCCTGTCATGCAGAAATGCATGCAGGAAAAGCCATATTTCTTGTCTTGTAAGGCTGGATCTACACTGCCCTACATCCCAGGATCTGATCCCAGATTATCTGCTTTGAACTCAGTTATATGAGTGTCACATAATATGGGATAAGCAGACAATCTGAGATCAGATCTTGCGATATAGGGCAGTGTAGAAGGAGCCTAAGTTGCAACCATGATGATGGAAGCTGTGTCCATGATCCACCTATGGAGGATGCTCTTCTGCTCACCCGGCCACCCCTCCTTACTGTTTACTAGTGGTTACCTTCCCCTTTCTCCTCACCCGCCAATTGCAACTCTTTGCTCTGTCACTTTCAGATGACATCTTGTGGCCAGAAGGGGAGGAAGCACTCCCAGCAGACGCTCAGCATCTCATCTCCTGCCTCCTGCAAACAAACCCCCTTCTCCGCCTGGGGGCAGGTAAGCACAGATGGAGCAGGGAAAGTGTGGGGTAGATGTGGTTTGAGTATGAGCCATTTCAGAAGGGACAAATTCCTCTTCCTAATACTCTCATAGTTTTCTTTAAAATGTTGCAACCTAGAACATCTTGGTTGTATGCTCACTAGGTGTGCGCACTCCACACTCCCCCTTGTCTCTGTCTGTCTTCGTCTCTTGTTTCTGGGCAAGATAACCACCTCCCTTCCCCTTACACTATTCCTAGCTTGATTTGTCGCTTTGTCCGGCAGAGGGCAGCAAAACTCCAGTGTTCTGGTTCTCTGCAGGTGGTGCTTTTGAGGTGAAACAGCATCCATTTTTCAAAGATCTGGACTGGAATGGGCTTCTGAGGCAGAAAGCAGAGTTCATCCCCCATCTAGAATCTGAAGAAGACACCAGCTACTTTGACAGCAAGTTTTCAACTTTTTCTTTTCTTCCTCCACAATACGTTACCTTAACAAACTAAGTAAGGCTGAGGCATACCACTTGCTCCAGTTTCTACTGCTCATCCACTTTAATCCCAAATGTCAACACTTTATGAAAAGCCACTTGTTTGCTTCCTGCTCTCTTGAGGGATGTCCAAGGTGTTCCAGTAGCACTGCTATTGGAAGCTTCAGAAAGGTGGTTTTCATCAGGATCATAAGATGGAAAAGGCCACAGCTTCATGGCAGAATGTAATCTGGTAGCGCAGTGGGCTAAACCCTTGTGACGGCAGAAATGAAGACCAAGAGGTCACAGGTTCGAATCCAGGGAGAGCGCAGATGAGCTCCCTCTGTCAGCTCCAGCTTCCCATCCTCCTACAAGGATGGTAAAACATCAGAACATCAGGGCGTCCCCTGGGCAACATCCTTGCAGACGGCCAATTCTCTCACACCAGAAGCAACTTGCAGTTTCTCAAGTTGCCCCTAACATGAAAAAAATGTAATCTTTATACATTCTTCCATGAACTTATGGCCTTTTCCCTCTTGTGATCTCAAGTTAGAGCTGGAAACAGCTCCTGGGATGTCCTTGCCAATCAGCATCAATAGTGTTGTCCTGGATCAGTGGTTCCCAACCTTTGGTCCTCCAGCCGTTTTGGACTTCAGCTCCCAGAAATCCTAGCCAGCTTACCAGCTGCTCGGAATTGCAGGAGCTGAAGTCCAAAACACCTGGAGAACCAAAGGTTGAGAAACACTGAGCTCAATGGACCAGTGGGCTGACTCAGTATTAGCAACTTGCTGCTTTCCTTCTGGCAAAAGGATTAATCTTTCTCTTGCCATCTGCTCAAACCAAAAAATCATCAGCTTCATAAATCCTCCATTTTTTCATATCCAGAAATTTGAAATGATGGGGGTTAAAAACAAAGAAATATTCCCCAAACTGTGACGCTAGCTGTCTTAGGAGATCCAAGGCATAAGCTGGATCTTTTGTTTTAAACTGGGAAATCAATGGCATAACCGTTGCCTGTTGTCTTTGGAAGAGAGGGGCTTGTACTAATGTGGCTGAAATCATTGCTTCTGATTGGAGAATGATTTCACACAAGCAGTTTTATACGTGGACTATCATCCACATTGCCCAATGCCCATGTCTGCTGAAGAGACTGATATCACAGGCATAGGTAGCAGGAAACAGCCTCAAATACCCAGCACTATTCTTGCCAATCGAAAGGCTGACAGTTCGAAGCCCGGTATGAACTCCTGCCCTTAAGCCCAGCTTCTGCCTACCTACAGTTCAAAAGTAAATGCGAGTAGTTAAATAGGTACTGCTGTAAAAGGTATTTAAGGTACCCATAAGGAAATGCCAGAAAGGTGCAAGCAATTTGATCAAGGAGGATGTTTACGGACAAAGCTCTTTGGCAGGGAAGATGGAGCAACAGCAACCATGGCTGCCAAATAACTCTTAGGTGTCACAAGAAGGTTCTAGTTTTGAGTGGTTTCAAAACCCAAACCTCTTTCCCATTGGTCAGAAAAAGAAACATGTTTACAACAGCCTCCATTTGTGGAAGGATTAGAGAACACACAAGCAATTTGGCAGAAACCACTCTCTTCCTCCTGGGGCCAGGTGTGTTTGAACTCTGTGTGCCATTGTTTTGTTTCAGCTCGCTCCGATCGTTACCACCATATTAACTCGTACGATGATGAGGACACAACTGAAGATGAACCTGTGGAGATACGGCAATTTTCATCTTGCTCTCCCAGATTCAGCAAGGTGAGCCTTCAACTTACAACATTTTAATTTTATACATCACTAGCGGTCCCCTGCCATGCATTGCTGTGGCCCAGTCTGGTGATATGGAAAATAAAGTAATGAGAAAGTGTTGGTTTCTAAAATATATAATTTCTATATCCTCGTGGGTAAACAGTATTTCTTGTTGTTTCTTTGTAAAGATTATCTGGTTTGCCTACTCTGGAACATGCAACATATCATTGTCCTTCTTTAAGGGTCCCTTTCAAATCTATGGTACTATATCTGTCATAAACATGTGAGTGAGTGTGTGTGTGAATCATATATATTTATCTATATCTATGGCTGGATGGCTCTTTGTCAGGAGGGCTTTATGTTTTCTTGCCCTGGTGAAGGGAGTTGGACTGGATGGCCTTAAGGCAGCATTTCTCAACCTGGGGTTTGAGACCCAGGGGAGGGGGGGTCACGAGGGGGTGTCAGAAGTGTTGCCAAAGATCATCAGAAAACACAGTCTTTTCTGTTGGTCATGAGGGTTCTGTGTGGGAAGTTTGCCCCAATTCTGCCGTTGGTAGGGTTCAGAAGGCTCCTTGATTGTAGGTGAACTATAAATTCCAGTAACTGTTGTGGTTCAACAGCAATTCCAGTAACTGTTGTGGTTCTATAAATTCCAGTAACTGTTGTGGTTCAACAGCAACAGCATGATGGGAATGAGAGTGCAGAACAGCATGATGGGAATGAGGGTGCAGATGAGAGTGCAGATGTTGGCTTTCAGTTTTCTCAGTCACAGCCTGTAGCTAGAGACAAGCCGCTGTTCTCACAAGAACGGAATGCAGCTGATAAGGCAGTCGGTGGGAATCAGGGTCATGCTGGCCAGGTGAGACGGAGCCCACGGATTGCGGCCATATGTTGAGATCATCCATTGGTGGGAAAACTGCTTGTTAGCTGCTTGTTTGATGTTCAGTGTTTTGGTGTTTAATGTATAAGTACTCTGCCTTGGAGCTTGCTCAGTGTTAGTTTCAACGTTGCTTTATGGCTTGCTTCGGCTCTGGGGCCTTGGGAAAGGCTGCTTCATGTTACCTCATGCTATTTCCTGGACTTTACTCTGATTCTATGCTTCAAGTCTCCTGCTTTGACCAAAGGGATTATATTGGATTTTTACCTTGTACTTTTGATCTTCTCACTGCTTATGAACTGCTTTGCTTGAAAACCTCACAATAAACTTTATACCTCACAACTGTGGCTGGTTTGTTGAAGATAGCAAGGTGAATCTTAGCCTGAGATACAACAGTAACTACTCCCAAATATCAAGGTCTATTTCCTCCCAAACTCCATCTGTGTTTATATCTGTGCATATTGAGTATTCGTGCCAAGTTTGGTCCAGATCCATCATTGTTTCAGTCCACAGTGCTCTCTAGATGTAGATTTGAATGCAATATTCCTGCTTCTTGGCAGTGGGTTGGACTGGATGGCCCATGAGGTCTCTTCCAACTCTTTGATTCTATGATTCTATGATTCTATGAACTACAACTCCAAAATTCAAGGTCAATGCCCACCAAACTCTTCTAGTGTTTTCTGTTGGTCAGGGGAGTCCTGTGTGCCAAGTTTGGTTCAAGTCCATCGTTTGTGGAGGTCAAAATGCTCTTTGATTATAGGTGAACTATAAATCCCAGCAACTACAACTCCAAAATAACAAAATCATTTTTTTTAAAGTGATGGTCACGCCTTGTGTTGTGAGACGTTTTGTTGCCAAATTTGGTGTGATTTCGTTCATTGGTTCTTTTGTTTTTAAGGTTCTCATTATGGACAGAGCATTTATATATATATAGATTTAAAAAACATGTGACCTAATGCAAGATCGTGAGAATAAAACGTGAGCAGAGGAGCTGCTCTTATCTTGTTTCCACCCCAAACTTTCATGTGATGGTTTTTGGCAAACTAGTTTGCTGAGGAGTAGCTCTTGGTTTTGTTTGCAGATATGAGGATGATGCTATGGCCTACATATTAGTTAACTCCCACTTTCAGACAACATCGTCTTGCCATAAGTCAAGATGTCCTTGATTGTCAGACATACCAAGTTCTTAACAATCCAGGACATCACCGTTAATCGTAGGTTTCCATTATGCCCAAACAAAAATGATGGCAATGGATTTAAAACAAACCAGGCGGCAGAAACCAATGTTAATTTTGTAATTAAACTACTGTATATTCTGGCGCATAAGACTACTTTTTAACCCAAGAAAATCTTCTCAAAAGTCAGGGGTCGTCTTATACGTGGGAGTCGTCTTATACGCTGGAATAGCCTTATTCATGGGAGTCGTCTTATGCGCCGGGAGTCATCTTATAGAGTGGGTGCTAAAACTTCCAATCCGGATTGGAGAATCTGTGGTTGCTGCATATTGTGGGGGGAGCTCAAAAATGGCAGTGGCCGTGTCCCTGCCATATGCAGCGACTGTATGAAAGCTGTACAAGTATTATAGAAGAAAATCCATTCATCAGGATTCGTGGACTTAATGTGGTCCCGATGGTGAGGTGAAGGGGCGCCTCACCGGGAAGGTGTAAGTGAAGGGAGCAAGCTGCAGGTGTCCAGGGTGCCCGGGGTATGAAAAAAAGAGAGAGTGGCTCTGGGCCCAGACAAACACACCTCTTTTACTTGTCTGGCCCGCCCTTGTATCCTATTACCGTACCTCCTCCTCTGTCTCTCTGATCTCGCTCCTGAAGCCTGCAGTGAAGCAGTGCAGGTGCGCATGTGCGAGATCTGAGAGGCAGAGAAGGAGGTATAGTAATAGGAAGATTATCATATTGAAATCAAATCTGATGCTTTTAAAAATTTTATTTGGTGTGTGTTGGAAGAGGGTTAGTCTTATACAGCGAGTATATCCCAAATTCTAAATTTTAACTGGAAAAGTTGGGGGTCGTCTTGTACACCCAGTCGTCTTATATATATGGGTAATAACATGATTTAACGTGTTCCTGAGTAACGCTTAGTCTAAGGAAGGACTTATTGTTGTATACTTGGAAATGATTTTCAAACTTTAAAACAATAGTTAGAGGAAATTAATATTGACACAAAGCCATCATTTCATATTTAGGCTTATTGAGAAGCTGTTACAATTCCCAGTTTGGAAGAAACAGAAAATCATGCTTAGTTGCAGTTTCTTGTATGCCCATGTATGCATGCATAAACCAATAAACAAAGGAGTGAACAACTGCATGCAGTATGGCTGGAGGGGATGAGCAACATTCATAGCACATGTGTACTCAGAAGGGAACAAGGGAATCTATTAGGCCTGGGTAACAACGGAAAAATTTGTTTCTAAAATCGATTCGTTTTTTGGGGTTTTTGCGTTTCGTTATTTAAAATAATTACAAAATTTTCCTTTTAAAAATTCCGAAATTTTTCTTTAAAAAAGTTCGAAATTTACGAAATTTCGGAAATTACGAAACAATAACGAATCGATTCGTTAATGGCGGACGCGAACCGCGCAATACGCTAATAAAACCTCCAAATGGGACAGGGGGAACTTCTGAAGCTTCCCTCTCCCTCTGTTGTTGACTGTTGGTGTGATATTATAATTTTTTTTCACTAATTAAACAAAAAACAACCATAAAACTTGCCCCAGACATGCGGAAATAATAACGAAACGACCTCAAAACAATAACGAAACGAATACAATAACGAAATACGAAGCATTTACAAAACTATTTAAAAATTCGTTTTTTTTAAAAAAATTGCTCCAGAATGGTTCGTTATCGTTTTGTAATTAAAAAAATTAACGAATTATTAACGAATTACGAATTAACGAAACGAAACCGCCCAGCCCTAGAATCTATCCATCTATATGTTGAGCCACCTTTTCTCATTACTCTGTGTTTTGCCCCCACCCCATCCTCCACTCCCCCAGGTGTACAGCAGCATGGAGCACCTCTCCCAGCATGAGCAGAAGACCCCCAGTGTCACCAAGCGGGACCAGAGCAGCAAGCACAAGGATGAGAAATTGAGCAAACGGGAAAGCCTGGGCAGTTTCACTCTTCGAGACAAGACCTGGCGTACCAACTCCCCAGAAATGTGAGACACATTCTAAGTCACTCTGCAGTTGCTGTTCCTTTTCCAGACTTGGCAGGGATTTGGTTAAATATAGGGGATGGAAATGGGAGACAGTATAGTGTTATCTTGACGGATCGGTCCAGCCTCTAAATCAGATCAGTTCAGCAAATGGTGTATTCAAGATATGATACATTTATAACCATGTTCTTTGCCTCCGTGAACAGGGAAAAGGGCATTATTATTATTATTATTATTATTATTATTATTATTATTATTATTATTATTTGAAACACAACAAGATGAGTCCACAGCAGACAAGATCACACTGCTGGCTGTTGAATTGGATCACACGTCGGACACTTCCCAAGTGCCTAGGACTGTGTGATGTATCGGCGAATAATGCGTGCAGATCCCAGTAAGGTGGCCTTCTGCAGCTGGCAGATGGTAATTTTGCCAGCGCCGATTGTGCTTAAGTGCAGGCCAAGGTCTTTAGGTGCCGATCACCACTGGGACCACCTTTACTGGCTTGTGCCAGAGTCTTTGCAGTTCGATCTTTAGATCCTATTATTATTATTATTATTATTATTATTATTATTATTATTATTACCCTGTCTTTATCCCTGAGGGGACTCAAAGCAGCTTACAGCCACAGACTTTGATCATTTGAATATTCTTTCATATATATTCCAGAATATGCTGTGAGAATTTTTAGTGATGAGTGAAGGTTGCTTTGCCTGATGCTTTCCAAGCTATCTAATGTGGAATAGTGGTGGATTTCTTTTCCTAACATGCCAGGGACCAACACCATATTTGTACCCACTGTATCAACTCTATATTTATTTCCTTAGAAGCTCATCAGGCACAAACAGCCAATGGTTCATGGAATAACACTGGCCCCTGGTCCAACCCTTTGAGAAGCATTGGTTTGGTCAATTCATTATCCGTTTTAACCAGTTATTAAATTAAAGCGTATTTTCATTTTTTTAATCTTCCTATTAGAATGGTATTTGCTGATGATTGACAACTGCAATGACAACCTTGTTTGCCATTTGTTACAGTTCTGTTTGCCTATCACTGCTATTACTGTCCTTTCTTCTAACTGCAGAAAATCTGACAGAAAAGCTGCACAGTGATTTTGTGAATGGTAACGCTAAATGTTGTCAGTTTGGAAGCAAAGTGTATGTGACCGAGATACTGAAAAAAATGAAATGTCACCAAGTTCAATTTTAAAATTATCACAACATGCCTAAATAAGTAACCTCTCCTAGTCCTCGCTGCTCAGTCCACTTTAACAGCCGGGAAATGTATGGGGCGATGGAGGTCTGATTAGTTGCCAGTCAACTTGCAAACAGTATGACATTGGGTTATTGTAGGTTTTTTCAGACTATATGGCCATGTTCTAGAGGCATTCTCTCCTGACGTTTCGCCTGCATCTATGGCAAGCATCCTCATTACCTCTGAGGATGCTTGCCATAGATGCAGGCAAAACGTCAGGAGAGAATGCCTCTAGAATATGGCCATATAGCCCGAAAAAACCTACAACAACCCAGTGATTCCAGCCATGAAAGCCTTCGATGAAGTATGACATTTCCAATTTATTTAATTATTTACTATATTTGTATACCGCCCTTCTCAGCCCTCAGGCAGTAAGTTTACAGAGGCAACAATTCGATGCTTAAGAACATCATAAAAGATTAAAAACATTAATACATAATACATAGTATAAAATTAATTAATACATAGTATACATTAATAAATAGTATAAAACCAAACAAAAGTAATAAAAACATAAACCTCCGAATTAATCCCTTCTCTCAAGCAAGCAAGGCAGGCTGGGATGAGAAACAGCAACAAGAGCCTTGTTTCTAGTTGTCATGGCTTTGCTTAGTAGTCAAAGGGGCTGGAAATTTAATCCTTTTTTGCTGAATGAACCTCCTTTGCTCAATGTGGCCGCTGATTGTTGTGGTGGGCTTAGGAGGCAGCATTGACAGTTATGGAAATAGTGCCACGATTATGTTACCTCAGACAAAGCAGTTACAGATCCATAATTCTAAGGCTCCTTCTACACTGCCATATAAAATCTAGATTATATTTATTTCGGGTATTTCTACCCCGCCCTTCTCAACCCCCGAAGGGGGACTCAGGGCGGCTTCCAACCGGCATATGTTGATGCCTACAATTTACATAGTAAAATACATAGTAACAATAAATTGTAACAGTTAAAACATTACATTAATACAATAAAAATACAATAAAATGCCAGCCTGGTGGCCATCGTTTTGCCAATTCCATAATTAATAAATTCATTCCGATTATCATAGTCCGTTTCCAAAGCTTTAGTCGTCATTGTCCATTGTCAGTCTGCCAGATTATCCAAAGGCCTGGTCCCATATCCATGTTTTTAATTTCCTTCTGAAAGAGAGGAGGGATGATGATGATCTAATTTCCCCGGGGAGTGAATTCCATAGGCAGGGGGGCACCACCGAGAAGGCCCTGTCCCTCGTCCCCACCAATCTCATTTGTGACAAGGGCAGGGCTGAGAGCAGGGCCCCTGCAGAAGATCTTAAATTCCTAAGTGGGACGTAGAAGGAGATACGTTCGGACAGGTATGCTGAGCCAGAACCATATAGGGTTTTATAGGTCAAAACCAGCACTTTGAATTGTGCTCGGAACTGAATCGGCAGCCAGTGGAGCTGACATAACAGAGGGCTGGTATGCTCTCTGTATGATGCTCCAGTGAGAAGTCTAGCTGCCGCCTGCTGGACTAGTTGAAGTTTCCAAACAGCCTTCAAAGGCAACCCCACGTAGAGCGCGTTGCAGTAATCTATTCGGGATGTAACAAGAGCATGGACCACTGTGGCCAGATCAGACTTCCCAAGGTACGGACACAGCTGGCAGTACCTTATATGGCAGTGTAGACTTATCCTGTTCAAAGCAGATAATGTGGATTATCTGCTTTGATAATCTGGATTATATGGCAGACAGAGTAGAAGGGAGCTACGTTACAAATAGGGACACAGAATGTAATAGGGACACAGAATGCCAGCTCATATATTTTAGACTTGGAAGAGAAATCATTTTTTTCTATAATGCCCTCTTTCATTCCCTTCTGCCACTACAATACCAACATCAGTAGCATCCTGGAAATGCTTATATTGCTTCTTGGCAGGGAGTTGGACTGGATGGCCCATGAGGTCTCTTCCAACTCTACGATTCTATAAATGATAGCGCAAAAGTTAGAATTCATGTTGACTTATTACATTTGGATAAATTAACTGTTAGGAGTTGCTGTCCCGATTATAGTCCTAATAAAAGAATCTGAGTTTGTGTGAATTTTCATAGAACCATAGAATTGTAACAGTTCAAAGGTACTCAGGGCAGGCCTTGGCTGGTATTTTGGTGATGGCTCTGACCTCTGAAGTTTGGGAGGCTCTCCCACTTGCTGCTTTTCCTTTTGCAGGAAGCGTCTCTCTGCTTCAGAGTCGTCATATACCGAGAGTGATTCGAGCCCCCCACTGGGTGCACGCCGGCGCTTTTCTGCCCTGATGGACACCAACCGTTTTGCTGTGCCTTTGGAGAGCGAGAGTGAGACCCTTGGCAAGGGGCCCGCAAAGGCTCCGACAGAAAATGGGCCCACGGGACCCTCGTCCCAGACCGAAAGCAAGGAGAGCAAAGAGGGAGCAACAGGAGAAACTGGAGCATGCCCTGCCCCTGTGGAGACTGACATAGGTGAGTCGTAGGCTAAGGTGAGTCAGGATGGCTGCTGACCGAAGGTCCTTGAGACTCTGGTAGGTTCAGGAGAGAAGCCACTGTCGAAGACTTGGCTCACAGAAGGCATACGGATCACTTGTTGAATAGGTTCTCCCAAGACAAAAGTCCTCTCTCTTCCTAAATAGGTTCTAGATCAGACAGACTGCAATATTGGAGAGGAGCACAGTGTACTCCAACTAATCGAACCACCGCCACTGAATGACTAGCTTTCATTTCATGCCTGACGACTTTTGCAGAAGTTTTATGCATTTTGTTCTGATATAATTGTTCTGTTGTTTTGTATTTTATCTTACTGTATTATATTTTTGGGCTTGGCCTCAGGGTCTCCTTTGGGGAGATGGTGGCGGGGTATAAATAAATATTATTATTATTATTATTATTATTATTATTATTTGAAACATGGAGCCCCCAGTGGCGCAGTGGGTTAAACCCCTGTGCCGGCAGGACTGAAGACTGACAGGTCGCAGGTTCGAATCCGGGGAGAGGCGGATGAGCTCCCTCTATCAGCTCCAGCTCCTCATGCGGGGACATGAGAGAAGCCTCCCACAAGGATGATAAAACATCAAATCATCCGGGCGTCCCCTGGGCAACGTCCTTGCAGACGGCCAATTCTCTCACACCAGAAGCGACTTGCAGTTTCTCAGGTCGCTCCTGACACAACAAAAAAATAAAATAAATTATTTGAAAGATCACAAGATGAGTCCACAGCAGACACTCTGCTGGCTGTTGTATTGGATCACACGTCGGACACTTCCCAAGTGTCTAGGACTGTGTGATGTATCACAATAAATGATCACCTCACTACCTCTGAGGATGCTTGCCATAGATGCAGGCGAAACGTCAGGAGAGAATGCCTCTAGAACATGGTCATATAGCCTGAAAAAAACTACAACAACCCAGATCACATAGTTGTTAGTTGTTGCAGAGGATGCCAGTGATATTCCCCTTGAAAACATCTGTTGTTGTGGAAATGTGTATTTCTCCTTACCTTTCTTCCTGCATATTTTTTTTTATTATTGGGCTCTTTTTGGCCATTTTAATGGATCTTTATGTAAGAACATTTCCTGATGGATTGTTATCTATGTTTCTTCCCTTGATTTACAATGGGAATGCCTCCGACTTCAGTAGCGATGACCCCGTTCGTATCTCTGCCAATGTGTTTGAAAAGGCCAAATAGCTAGTTATCCATTATGATTTTTCATGGAGACAAGCTTATACCCCTCAGGAGTATACACACACATGCAGTGACTATTTGATTTATTTGGTAATTAGAAGAAAACTTCTTTCTCCACACATTATGTCAGGTTGGTGTTATGGTGCACTAAATTGTAGCAATTGCTATTGGAGGTGTAGCGCAAAGCCTAACATGTAGTGATCATTGTGTGTCTGGTGGATGTAATTGTGCTTGAAAGCTTGGGAAAGTAGTTGGAAAGCACCTCTACAGCTTCCAACGTAAGCTGCTTGCAGCATGGATATGACAAGCCCACCTCCCAACATTGTGCCTGCCGCTTGGAGCCTTGGTTGCAACTGGGCAACCTGACCCATGACTTTTCCAGCAGTAAACACGACAACATTTACAAAAAGCAAGATGACCGATCTTTCAAAATGGTAAATGCTGCAGTTATTTTGAGGATATAAGAAAGTCCACCAAGTGCTGGGGGTTATCTGTGGTTGTCTGAGGTGCTATGGCTACATGCATCTTGGAAGTCTTGAAATCACAAGAGTTGTGTCTAAAAACCCCAGCTGTTGACACAGAATTCTTGAAAAGTGATTAGATTTAGGTGAAAAAGTTAATATGCTGTAGGCTCAATGGCTAAGTCCAACAACTTCTGGCCTTAGTGGTTTGCTCAGACCCCTTTTAACATTCTTTGTGGAGTCGAAGTTAGAATTCCTTGACATGGCATCCAAATCAGTTGCCATCTATATAAATAAAAATGTAATCTTCATTTGTGGGATTAACATAACTCAAAAACCACTGGATGAATTGACACCAAATTTGGACGCAAGACACGTATCAGGCCAATGAGTGACCATCACTCATAAAAATACTGAAAAACATAGTGGAAGAGACTTTAAAAGCAAAAAATTAAAAAATACATTACAATGCATGCACAAAACCACATATACACATATACGCACACATATATATACACACAAAACACTTATACACAGACTGGGCCACAGCAACACATGGCAGGGTAAGGCTAGTTTGCAATAAACACTATTTTCTTGGATACTCCAGCAGAGTATCAAGGAAGGGCCCTGGTGGCACAGCAAGCTAAACATCTGAGCTGCTGAACTTGCTGACTAAAAGGTTGGCGGTTCGAATCCGGGAAGCAGGGCGAGCTTCTGCTGTTAGGCCCAGCTTCTGCCAACCTAGCAATTCAAAAACATGCAAATGTGAGTAGATCAATAGGTACTGGCTCGGCGAGAAGGTAACAGTGCTCCATGCAGTCATGCCGACCACAAGACCTAGGAGGCATCTACGGACAATGTTGGCTCTTTGGCTTAGATATGGAGATGAGGACCACCTCCCTAGACTTAATGTCAGGGGAAAACTTTACCTTTACTCCAGCAGAGTTTTGCAACCTAAACATGGCTACTCTCTGCAGCAGCTCACATTTTGCTCTGGCATCTTAATCTGATCCAGTTGCCCATCAACTAAATTAGCAAAAGTCAACAAGGACAGTCTTGTAGTATGGCAATAGCAATGTCCTGTGCATTAAAGAGCTCTTGGTGTTTTAATGAGGGCTTTGTGTGATTTCCTCATTCCTTTCCTCATGAAGTGGTTCCAGAGCCTAGAACATTAAATTTCACTGGAACGTTTTATTTGATGTTCCCACCCACCCTTGTCCATACTTGTACAAGTCCATTTTCCGCCTCTGGAATGACATGGTATGGATGGACAGAATTGCCTCCATTGATGGGGAGAATAGAAGGGAATCCCATGGGCAGTGTGTCTGATGATGTCCCTTGGGTTGTGGTGGTGGAGGTGGTGGTGGGCATCCCCTCCCTGCCCCTGTGGTGGTGTCCCTCTGGCCCCACAGCCCAGGAGCGGGCCCTCCCCCTGAGCGTGGTCCTGTGACGTGGGGTGTGAGTCATCCTCCCTCTCTCTCCACTCCCCACTAGGCGATAAATCAAAAGCGGGTGAGCTACAGCCCCTAAAGGAGCTTGACCCATCAGCCCCCAAAGCTACCAATGACTTGGTGCTACGTCGGGCTCGGCACCAACAGCTCTCAGGGGACTCCACGGCTGAGAAGCGCAGCTCCCGCACAGGGGGCAAGGTCATCAAATCTGCCTCAGCTACTGCGCTGTCCGTCATTATCCCCACAGGTACGGCCCTCCTCCTCTTGCCCCCACCCCTGCACCCACCCCACCCCCATCCTGGACATGCCAACCCCATACCTGCAAGCTCAGCACCAACCCACAGGAATGCCGTCCCGCCTGAGCCGACCCCACAGGCACACTCTCAAGCCGCCACCCTTGACCCTTGGGACTGGGGGCACTCTACTCATACACAGACCGCCCTGCTGGCACCACCCTGAACCCTCCTGTTACCCCTTTTCATCTTCACGTTCCAGTTGCCCTTTTCTATTGGGTCGACCTGTATCTGTGGGCTGTTGTCTGATCAAGCTCTCTCAGCCTCTCAGCTATTTGTCCACATTCCAATAGGAATAAAAATACCTCATTGCCATTAGCTTTTTTCCCCCAGCACAGCCCCCAGCCTGACCCCCACCCTACACAAGAAATCTATGCTTTGCTGCCCTGCATGTAATCCCTGTCCCTTCACTTAGTTGCTGGGCTGTGTGTATTCTGCAATCAAAAACAAAGTGGGATTCTGCAACCTGCCATTTATGCAAATGAAACCAATTTGCATGGTATTTTGTTCATTGCATGATTTCTAGTTCCTATATTTTTTGCGTAGCTTGTGCGCTTTCTGTGGCTTATGGGAGGAGAGGCAAGTAAAGCTTCTCGAGGGTCAGAAACCCCTCCCTCTACGGGGAATTTCATTCAGTCGTCCATCTGAAATTTCAGAGAATTTTAAGCCATGAGGAACAGGAACATTGTTTTCATTTTAAATACAATCTGAGCTTCTCTGGAATTGGATTTTGAGCCACGGATAACATTATGTGGGCTTATTAGTGTGGCATTGTACAGCCCTTGTAGTTTCACTCAATCACGTGTGCTAAAGAAAATAGGGACAGAAAAGGCTCAGGGACACCACTGCTGGGAAGTATTTTCCCTGTCCAGCCAGAAAAATGCCCCCTGAGATTTATTTGCTGGTAGGTAAGAAATAAAATTATTATTATTATTATTATTATTATTAGTAGTAGTAGTAGTAGTAATATAGTAGTAATATAGTAGTAGTAATATATCATTATATCTCTCTCTGTCCCAGGGTAGTGGTTCCAAATCCATAATCCTCATATTTACACTAAAATAGCTCCCTGCACCCCAATGTTCCAGATTCTTTTGTATTCCTTTGCTGAGAAATGATTGAAAGTATCCTGAAGCCTCAGCAAGGCCGTCTGCAGAAAGCAATCGTAGCAAGAGGATGAGGAAGGAGGGTGAGGGCCAGGACTTTTCTGAGAGGCAGAAGATGCTGCTGAGATGTGCTTGCCTTATGAAACTCTGGAGGACTTCTCACTTACCCGTACATTTTATCTCTTCCTTTCCCCCTCTCTCTCCTTGCAGTGGAACAGCACAGTAGCTCCCCGCTGGCCAGCCCAATGTCTCCCCGTTCCCTGTCATCCAATCCTTCATCTCGGGATTCTTCGCCATCACGGGACTATTCCCCAGCTGTAACAATCCTCCGCTCGCCCATTACTATCCAGCGTTCAGGGAAGAAGTATGGCTTCACGCTGCGTGCTATCCGGGTGTACATGGGTGACAGTGATGTCTATAGCGTGCACCATATTGTCTGGGTAAGCATAGTTGTTTGGTAGTAGATCATTATTGCTTATATGTTCAATCGTATTATTTATATTGTTTTATTTGCTTGTTTGTTTGTGAATGTATKGTTGTATTTGTATTTGACGGGCTTGGCCTCATGTAAGCCGCCCCGAGTCCCTTCAGGGAGATGGTGGCAGGGTATAAATAAAGTATTATTATTATTATTATTATTATTATTATTATTATTATTATCATTCTGCGTTGGCCAGRCTTGGTAATACACAGAATGAGTCCATCATYTGTAATGTAATACATATAATACTAATGTAATRCAATATAATACTTATTATTATTATTATTATTATTATTATTATTATTATTATTATCATTCTGCGTTGGCCAGGCTTGGTAATACACAGAATGAGTCCATCGTTTGTAATGTAATACATATAATACTAATGTAATACAATATAATACTTATTATTATTATTATTATTATTATTATTATTATTATTATTATCATTATCATTCTGTGTTGGCCAGGCTTGATAATACACGGAATGAGTCCCATCATTTGTAATGTAATATGTATAATACTAATGTAATACAATGTAATACTACTACTACTGCTAATAATAATAATAATAAGAAGAAGAAGAAGAAGAAGAAGAAGAAGATATTATAATTATATATTTTATACTAGCTGTACCCTCCATGTATTGCCGTGGCCCACCTTCCCTCCCTCTTTCTCTTCTTTCTTTCTTTCTCTCCTTCCTTCCTTCCCTCCCTCTTTCCTTCTCTCCTTCCTTCACTTTCTCTCTCTCTCTCTCTCTCTCTCTCTCTCTCTCTCTCTCTCTTTCCTTCTCTTCTTCTTCCCTTCCTTTCCCCCCTCCTTTTCTTTCACTTCCTCTTTCTCCACTTTCTTCTATTATTCTTGGATTGCAACTCCCAGCAGTCATCCTTATCTACCTACCTATCTATCTCTATCTAATCTATCTATCTGGAGGATTACTGGGTGTTGCAGTCCAGGAATAGGAAATTGGGATGCTCTCAAAGAAATCCAAAGAGAAGAAAGTTTGCAGCTTGGAAGCAGTGCATTTGGATCATCCTCTCCTAAAGGGCCTGGTCTAGGGGATGCTGGGAACTGTAGTCTGGAAGAGAGTGTGGCTATGCTATTGTGTGTTTTGTTTGCCAGGGGGAGTCATTTTTGTGCATGAGCTGTAGTGTCTTTTTGCTTTGTTGGCTTTTTAAGTCCCTTCCACTGTGTTTTTCAGTGTTTTTATGGGTGATGGTCACTCATTGGCCTGATAGGTGTATTGTGTCCAAATTTGGTGTTAATCTGTCCAGTGGTTTTGGAGTTATGTTAATCCCACAAATAAACATTATATTTTTATTTATATAGATTACATGTAATATTACTAATAATATTACAAAACAGTATAATGGTATAGTACAACATAGCAATATATAATACCAATATTGTGCTATGGTAACAATATAATATATTGTATTTACATATTACCCACCCACTGTCACTGTGATTGTGTTTATTGTAATGTTATTTTGTTACTGTATTCATATGTGTTTTTAATGTAATTTTAATGCTGTTGCTTGTTGCTTATGTTTTGGTTTTATCTTGCTGTAATATGTCTTCCGGGCTTGGCCTCATGTAAGCCGTCCCGAGTCCCCATTGGGGAGATGGTGGCGGGGTATAAATAAAGATGATGATGATGATTATGATGATGATGATTATTATAATTATTATAATTATTTGTAAGCCGCTCTGAATCCCCTTCAGGGTGAGAAGGGTGGCATATAAGTGTCATAAATGTCATAAATAAATAATAGTTTCTTCATTTGCTGCAGCACTCTAGGAGCCTATGGAGGCAGGGACTTGGAGTCCTATAACTAAATGAGGTAGTCCGGAGAGCTTTTCTCCTTCTCTTAATCTTTTTTTCTTCTGCATTCTTTCGTTCTTTCTTTCATGGCAGCATGTGGAGGAAGGCGGACCAGCTCATGAGGCAGGTTTATGTGCTGGAGACCTCATCACTCATGTCAACGGAGAGCCAGTGCATGGGCTTGTGCACACTGAGGTTGTGGAGCTCATCCTGAAGGTAAACAGGAAGTGGGACAGAAAACAGGAAGAGTCTCTGATGGGGCTGAGGCAAAATACTGTCCCTACTGTCCTACAACTATCATCCCTCTCCCTCTCCTAGAGTGGAAACAAAGTGATGGTGACTACTACACCCTTTGAAAACACCTCCATCCGGATTGGGCCAGCTCGTAAGAGCAGCTACAAGTCCAAGATGGCCCGGAGGAACAAACGGAGCACCACCAAAGATGGCCAGGAGAGGTGAGATATATACGGGGAGGGGAACTGGAGAGACGAAGCGCATAAATTAGAAACATAGTTTGTTGAATGCTGTTGGATCCTCTTTTGGTAACCTTCTTTCATCCTTACTTGGCAGTAAGAAGCGAAGCTCCCTCTTCCGCAAGATCACCAAGCAGTCAAACCTACTGCACACCAGCCGCAGCTTGTCATCTCTGAACCGCTCACTCTCCTCCAGTGACAGCTTGCCTGGCTCACCCACTCATGGTTTGAGTGCCCGTTCACCCACCCAGAGCCTGCGCTCCACACCAGATTCTGCCTACCTAGGTAGCAGACCTGAAGGTAGTGGTGGGCAGGGTGGCTGTGGCAGGGACATGTGCCCATAAGCGGTCAGTCCTCGTGGAAAGTTGGGCTGACTTATCTTGGATTGGACAGGGAACAAGTCTTCAATTCTCACCAAGTTTGGCTTCCTTGGACAGGGAGGGGGGGCAACACCACAAAGTCCTGACTGTTCTTCAGTACTACCTGATGGGAGCCCTCATGGAAGGAGAGCAATGGTTGGATGGAGACAATGGTTGTGGTGGGGAACCCATATAAAGGCTTTCCTAAATCACTAAAATCTGCACACTGATTGTGGCGATTTCCTACAGGCCTATTTAGTAGGATCACAGGATCAGCACTGAGGGCTTCCTCCACATGGAAAGAACTATTTTACAAAGCTTAGGCAATTCCGCAGCTTAGTGGAGGGTTGTGGGAAATAGGTGGTGCATTTTCGCTTTCTGATGGTTTGATTTGAGAGCCTAATGAGAATAACCAGACTTAAAGTGTAGCATCAACTCATCAGTTTATTTTGATTAGCATCACCTAAACATTATTCTAGGGAAAATCTACAAACAAAATAGTCTCTGTCTCCAGTGTTCAGGCCTCTTTCCAATTATTATTTATTTTTTTATTTACGGTATTTATATTCTGCCCTTCTCACCCCACAGGGGACTCAGGGCGGATTACAATGTACATATTCAATGCTATAGAAGCACAACATATATAGACAGTGCATTATCATCCTGTCCTCAGTATGAGCAGCCACAATGGATCTCTAGGAAGGATGCAGACCTGTGTACCACTCTAACAAGTGAAGCCACTCCCTGGGCCTCCAGGAAACAGAAATATTTGGTTTGGGCATATCTTAAGCTGTCATTATTCCTTTTGTCCCCATCCAGGTGCCTCTTCGCAAAGCAGTTCCCCAGCCTCCAGCACACCCAATTCGCCAGCCACTTCATCCCATCACATGCGGCCAAGTACACTTCACGGCCTATCTCCCAAACTACACCGCCAGTATCGCTCTGCCCGCTGCAAGTCAGCTGGAAATATCCCACTCTCACCCCTGGCGCACACACCTTCCCCCACTCAGTCTTCGCCACCACCGTTGCCCGGCCACACTGTGGGCAGCTCCAATACCACGCAGAGCTTCCCGGCTAAGCTCCACTCTTCGCCGCCTGTGGTCCGGCCCCGACCCAAGAGTGCTGAGCCCCCTCGCTCCCCGCTCCTGAAGCGGGTGCAGTCAGCCGAGAAGCTCGGCTCCCCGCTCAGCTCCGAGAAGAAGGTGGTGGTGAGGAAGCACAGCCTGGAGGTGGTGCATTCTGAATATCGCAAAGACTTCTATGGCGAGCCGGGTCTCCACAGCCTGGCCGAGTCAGATGGTGAGAGCCCCAATGAATCAGGGACTCCTAAGCCACTGGCCACCCGACGCCTGGGCCGGCAGGAATCCCCACTTAGTTTTGGGGTAGGAGACGGGGAGGCAGTTTCCACTGAGACCAGCACCAAGACAAGGGGACCAGAAGGTCTGGCTGGGGACTGCCGACGGAGCCAAGCGGTGCAGACAGAGGAGGCATTTTCAGGAGCAAATCGAACCCTGGCAAAGGCCCTGAGCCCTGTCCAAGAGCACGAACAAGGGCGGAAGGGCAGTGGGGAGGCAGAGGTGGCCCCACGGGGACCCGTTCCTATTGTTCTGGAGCCCAAGCAAAGCCAGGAACCCAGCCCCCCAAGGAAACTGGCTATAGAGCACCCCCAGGACAAGGCTGGCTCACCCAAGGAGAAGTGGATTCTGGAGGTGGTGGAAGAGCATACCACCCTGGGAACCTGCGCCAAGACCCCCAGTTGCCTGTGCCCAGAAGGGACCAAGAATGGACTGAAGCGAAGCTCAGCGGAGGCCAAGGGGAAACGGGGAAAAGAAGAGGTGCCTGTATTGGGGTCAGGGAGCAAGTGTGCAGGAGACACACCTCGGCCTTCCCCCCCTACACTGGAAAAAAAGGGGGCGGCACACTGAAGGTTTGCCTTTCTCACTGTACTGACCACCAGGACTACTGTCCTAGACCACCACCCTCATCTTTGCCTTCCAATCTCAGTGGTGGTTGTGGCAGTGGCAGCTGCAGCGGTATAGGTAGGCTCCCAAGTTCCTACCCCACTGAAGCTGGAGCGGGCTGGCCCTTCAAGCCCTCTGTAAATATGAAGGGCAGAGGCAACAACACTTTCCCTGCTGCCCTGGCCATCTTCCCTTCCCACACCTACAAAGGGCATGTCCGGTGGGTTAGGCCATGTAAAGTATCTATACATAATTCTCACTATATATATTATATTATATTATTTATATAAATATATATATACATATACATATATATATGAGCAAGACTACTCTATACATGAAAAGGTTAAAACTGTGATCACACCCACCCCAAAATCGATTCCCAGCACTTCAGGTTCCTCCTTGAAGTGTGTTGGATTTTTTTAAAAGGGAGGGGGAATAGATATTTAGGAAAAAAGTTAATAGAAGTGAAATGCATAAACCAAGTTAACTTTGAATGCAGAAGATTTTGCTGAAATCACAAAGTGCAAAACAAACAAACAAACAAACCCCAGTTGTGATCCTTGTTGCATCTGGATTGTTGCATGCAAGGTTTTTGCATGCAAAAGGGATGCTCAGCTCTTCATGCAAATTTGTCATTGATCCGTTGGGATCAGGATGTGGCAGTCCAGGGAGGTGACAGGCAAACTCTTGTGGCATTGCCCGGCTGGTGTCATGGCAGCTGCAAACAAACAAGCGCCACCCTTCACAAGCAAAGCTGGGCTCCACCCTGCCTTGCTTACATCACATGTGGCAAGCAAGCTCATTTCCCCCCTCTTTGTGTTTAGTGATTGGAAAATATTCAGAATTCTTCAATTCCTTATTTTACTTTTCTGATTATATCCCCTCAAGCGAGCAATTTCAATGATGGGTATGACTTTCTAGCAAAGGAAATTGTTCATGATTCATTTCCTGGGATTGTAACCCTTTCTCAGACTAAACTAGAGCCAGGCTGTGTTCATGCTCAAAGGGGGAAAAATTCTACCAGAGGCTGCCTTAACCAACAAATCAAGAAAATCAATGTGGCACGAGATGAAAGATGGGTGAAAAGTGGGATCTGGCCCAAGGAATACCTATCAGGGGCAAGCTCAGTTGCCGTGAGGTTTGCACTGGAAGTCTCCCCAATGCAGTGCATGCTGTGTCAAGTAGTGAAGGGATGATGCCATGTGGGTTTTCCACTTTCGGCACAGAAACGTTTTGGGTTGATGCTTGTCCATACTTTGCATGCAGGTGGGTTTGATTATTGCCATACACCTCCCAGGTAGGAGCCCCCGGTGGCGCAGTGGGTTAAACCCCTGTGCTGGCAAGACTGAATGCAGGTCGCAGGTTCAAATCTGGGAAGAGGCGGATGAGCTCCCTCTATCAGCTCCAACTCCTCATGCGGGGACATGAGAGAAGCCTCCCACAAGGATGATAAAAACATCAAATCATCCAGGCGTCCCCTGGGCAATGTCCTTGCAGACGGCCAATTCTCTCATACCAGAAGCGACTTGCAGGTTCTCAAGTTGCTCCTGACACGACAAAAAAAGAAAAAGAAAAGAAAAACCAGGTAAAAAGAAGCAAGAAATGAGCAAAGCTCCTCTCCACCTCAGACCCTGGAGATGCTTCCAGGAAGAGGTCTTTCAGGTTTGTAGTCTGATCTGGTAGGAGAGTGGAAGTGTTTATCATGGCAGGGGGTTGTTTTTGCATTCTGATGGCTGCCAGGCAAACTTTTATGCAGATGCAGCCTTTGTAAACATCCTTACAATGTGATTTTGGATATTGTATTGTCGAAGGCTTTCATGGCCAGAATCACTGGGTTGTTGTAGGTTTTTTCAGGCTGTATGGCCATGATCTAGAGGCATTCTCTCCTGACGTTTCGCCTGCATCTATGGCAAGCATCCTCACTATCTCTGAGGATGCTTGCCATAGATGCAGGCGAAACGTCAGGAGAGACTGCCTCTAGACCATGGCCATACAGCCCGAAAAAACCTACAACAACCCATTTTGGATATTGATGGAAAACTTCAATGATGTTTACTGAAGGGAAGAGTTGTGCAGTACTGCAGCCTGAACTCATGGTGGAGCACATCTTGAAGTGCATTGCAACCCCATTTTAGAGGAGAAAGCCATTTTCCAGAGATATATCCTTTCCCTTTGTTATATGGAAAACTTGAACGAGCTTGCCTGAGGCACTCAGTGGTCTCCTGGAAGAAACTCGAGTAGAACAGCCATGAATAGGAGAAAGCCAGGGAGCTGCCACACCAGATGAACTACGAGGGTTGAATGAAAAGTAATGCCGCCACCTTACTTGGGTTTGGGTGGGAATATTTTAAAAAATCAAATGCAGAAATAATCCTTAGAATGTGCTCCTTAACTTGTTTGAATTTTCTCTCTGAGTGATATGACGATCGTCCTGAATCAATCTGTCAACCTTTTGCTTGTGAAAATCGGTGGTTGCTGTCACAGGATGTCCAACTCCATGTTTATCACACAAATCAGATGTTCCCACCTCAATGTCTTTATTCACCCAACGAAGCACAACATGACAACGACACATACAGTTTCTTATGACTCCCTTTGGATGACACATGGGGGCGTGGGGCGGGGGGGGGGGGGCTCAGGGGGCTTCATCCCCCCCCCTCCCGAAATTCTCATGGTGGTTTGCGAAAAGGCATTACTTAAACTGTTATGTTTATTCATATCATGATCTGATCACCATACTCAATATATCCCATATGCATGGGGGTATTGGGGTAATGATACAAAAGGTTTGCTAGGGTAGACCCTCTTTCACTCAGACTCAGCCCCCCCCCCGAAACTCACCCCCCCCCCCCGAATCGAAATCCTGGCTATGGGCCTGACCACCTACTGTCAAGAATTCAATGCCTGCACATTGCTTAAGTCATGTTGACTGACTGCCTGTGCAGGGTTCCATACTTTGCACTTTAACAGCACAACCATTCAATGCTAAGGCTTCCCGCCAAAATGGAACTGTAGAGGAGAGTCTACTGAACAAGCCAGTACCTGCCACATCCCAATACTACTATCTGTTGAGGAGTTACGAAGGAGGAGGCATTACTTTTCATTCAACCCTCGTATCTTAGCTGCTTGGTGTGTGCATGACCCTTATTGTGTAGAACTGCTGTGGCAGACTTGGCTCTTGAAGGCTAGGGCACACACCAGGAGGAAAGTGAAACTATACTGCCAAGAGTGTGCAATAACGATATGTGCGTAGCAGGTTTAATATGGCTAGCAGCATTGTCGCACTGATTGAGGTAGCAGAAGTGGCCGTTCCCTTCCAATGATTGCTGTGTTGCCAAGTCTTGCTTTTGTGTCATTTGTGTTCGCGGGCAATGATGTCATCCTGCATGACGTTGCTGTAAATTGCCAGGATCACTGATGTAACCACGATCTTAGAGCAGGTCTACTGTTGTTCGGTAGTGTGGTCCACTATGCTGGGGTTGTTAGGTTTCCAAAGGGTGGGATCCCCAGATACGGAGTAGCCTAGTAAACGTGGAAAGCGGCGCTATGTCCACTTCTTTACAGCCCTTGTCTAATTCTAACAAACACGGGAAGGATTGTGTCCATTAGAGGTACTGTTGAGAAAAATCCCACCGCCTTGTTTCTGCTCTTTCACCATGAATTTTTACTTTTTGGCCTGGAGAACCTGAGAGAGAATAGAACATCTCTGAAATTTTAGATTGAATGCAGAGGCCTAACAGCCCTGCTGCAAATGGCAAAATCCTATCATATCCATCAAGTGTAAAGCAAACGTGGTCTTGATGGCAATATCACAACACTAATACAGCTTCTGCTTGGCCCAGGCACCAGTCTGTCTCCTTTCCCACTCCCAGCCCAGTTGCCTCTGAAGGGAGAGGGGCTCTCTATGCAATCATTACCAGATAGGCAAAGGTTTCTTTTCCTTCTCCTCCTTCTCATCCGCCTTTTATTCCTCTTATCCTGCAACAAAACCCCCTGTTAACCCACCCTTAGTTGTGGTAAGATGTGCTTGTTTTCCTGAAGAGAGCTGATCTGCGGCTGGAAAATGATAACATCCAAGGGGAGTACCATTGATATGCCCACTGTTGTCAGATGAGACTGTCTTAACTCTGAGATCTCACAACCCACAGGCTGATCTAGTAAGTAAGTAAACTTTATTATGGGCAATGACCAGGTCATAAATGGAGCCCCCGGTGGTGCAGTGGGTTAAACCCCTGCACCGGCAGGAATGAAGATCGACAGGTCGTAGGTTCGAATCCGGGGAGAGGCGGATGAGCTCCCTCTACCAGCTCCAGCTCCTCATGTGGGGACATGAGAGAAGCCTCCCACAAGGATGATAAAAACATCAAATCATCCAGGTGTCCCCTGGGCAACGTCCTTGCAGACGGCCAATTCTCTCACACCAGAAGCGACTTGCAGTTTCTCAAGTAAAAAAAAAGAAAAAAACATCATAACAGGGGGACCCAGTCCCACACATCCATGTCAAACCCAAGGGATTATATGCTTCAAACTTCAAAAAAATTTAAAACCTAGGCTAAAAACCACATACAAAACCCAACTCAACCCATAAGATCATCCAAAGACAGTCTAAATGGAGGTAGTGGGGATGGCACCACACAGGCCAATCTGTGTTCAGGGGCTTGAGCTATCTTCTTTTCCTGCCTACTTGGATGCAAAAATGAGCCATGATGCACCTGCAAGTGTAGAGTAAGCAGGCTGGGTTCAGCTTGTTGGGGTTCAAGCCACATGAGCTGCCCTTTTTCACTCCGTCTGTGTTTTCCTTCTACAAACCTATGAGACCTGATCCAATGGTTAAGTGTTATGTCTGCTGTAGATGTGATTTCAAAAGCAGCAAATAAAGTGGGCCCTTGGTATCTGTTGACAGGCATGTAGCCGGGATGGGGGGCTTGTGGGGCTTGAGCCCCCCCCCAAATTCTCATGGTGGTCCGCAAGAAGGCCTTACTGCTACATCATTTAAACTGTTACGTTTATTCATATCATGATCTGATCACCATGCTCAATATATCCCATATGCATGGGGGTATTGGGGTAACGATACAAAAGGTTTGCTAGGGTAGACCCTCTTTCACTCAGACTCGCCCCCCCCCCCCCCGAATCAAATTCAGCTCCCCCCGAAACAAAATCCTGGCTACGGGCCTTTCCATTGAGGTTTGGTTCCAGGACCCCATGAGTACCAAAATCTTGTGTATGCTCAAGTCCCATTATATACAACGGTGTAGTAAAATGGTGTCCCTTATATCAAATCAAGCTCTGATGTTTGGATTTTGGGGGGTGGGGTGGGTGGGATATTTTCAAGCCGTGAATGGTTAAATCTGTAGCTACAGAATCTATGGATTCAATGGCCTGACTGTTTGTGTTTGTGAAGACCATAATTCTTGAACTGTGGTGGGGCAGATGGGCAGACATGATTTGGGAGGACATTTTAATCTGCAACATTCCTGTCATCCCCCAATTTGGAGCTGGCAACCCCATAGTTACAATGGAGGAAAACACTTGGAAAGCCAGAGGAAACTCCCAGTCACAACAAGCTCTCATCCTAGTCTGCATACCTTGCAGAGGAGAACATGGCTCAAGTGTTCTGCGAGTGCTTGGTGAAGCACCAAATGTTGGTTTCAATGAAGTTACGTGACCCACTTCCCACCACAAGCATAAAGGAAGCGGGCAGCCACATAATCTGAAGAGTTGTCTTCTGGGCCATCAAATCTGTCTCTGGGCTTATTAAGGCAGACACGTTGTCATGTTAATAAAACAACCTGTACAGCAGATCTGGCGTCCGACTTTTCTGATTGCAATCGGGCGGGGGTTTGTTTGAGATGAACTAATTGAGGATGATGGAGTCGCCCTCTTTTCACCCAAAGCCCAGAGAGGTAAGCAAGACCATAGAAGAGACTGGGTTTGGAGAGGGGTACCATCGCCCCAGGTTGAGGTGTGGCTCCTGACACAATAAAAACAATTGCCTCAGTTATGACATAACCACAGGCTTTGGGAGCTTGAGCATCTTCCTCCTCTTTGCCCATGTGCTGCCCAAGTCACATGGCTCTATAACAATTTCCTCTCTTCCGCCTTCAGACCTCCTCCCTTCTGTACGAGCCTGGCTCGCATCCAGCAGCCTACTGCCCGTTGGTTATATAACAGCTGGGGCATTATGCCAGGAGGTTAGTATTACACACAAGGCCACCATTATGCACGTGAGATGTGGCTCACACGGCTTGCTGTGCCAGGACAAGGAAACCAGGGCAGAGTCACCTCCGCAGCGGCCGAGGCTCTACTCACTGCCAGTTTGCTTTCTATGGGTTGCAGACGCTGACATTGACTGACTCACAAAGCAACAAAACAAGTCCCGGCTTTCAGGCATGATCAGTCTAAAGCTCTAACTGTAGACGTCATTAGGCCTCGGAATCTGAGCTTCATTTGGTCAGGTTTGTAGCTTCCGTCGACCCTAATCCTTCTCCCTGCTGTTTTAGGATCTAATGAGAATATATATATTTTTCAATCCCTGCTCATTCAGAACACTGCCGCACCTTG